AGTATCCTTGGAGAGGTTGGCCTATGCTGTGTAAGAGAAGTGTCTGAGCAAGCCAGTAAGCAATGTGCCTTCACAGCACTGGTTCTCAAACTGTGGGTCACGACCCCTTCGGGGGTGCAAACAAGCCTTTCAAAAGGGTCACCTAAGACCATTGGAACACGCAGATATTTACATGATGATTTCCAACAGTAACAAAATTACAGTTAACAGAGGTAGCCATGAAAATCATTCTCATGTCGCCACAACACGAGGAACTGTATTAAAGGGTTGCAGCATGAGGAAGGTTGAGAACCCCTGCTCCACAGCCTGTTTCAGTTCCTGCCCTTCCCTCCGGGATGGACCACTACCTGGGAGTTGTAGGATGAAACGCACCTTTCCTCCCCAGGTTGCTTTGGTCATGGTGTTCACCACAGCAACAGAAAGCAAACCAGGACGCTACTATTGCTGGAGAGTCTAAACTCTAAAAGCTAACTGTATCTAGGCAGATGTTCTATTTAGAAAACTGGAATGCATTTACTTAAACATAATTTAACTTCCAAAATCAACATGCTTGTGTTTTTGTTGAGAGTATCACAGATCAGTATGTTGGTAATCACTCTAAAAAACGTAAAACCAAGTACCTGGTACTTAGTGACCAGGTACGGTCTGGTGGGGTGAGGAGAGAGATGGAGAATTTCTAGTTCTCTCTAAATATAAAAGCAAGAACTGCCAACTTCATGGGATTATTGGGCAGCTCATCAATCTACTTTATGTACTTACACAATCTGACTGTTATTAAAAATTGGGTCTCTATTGTAAAACTTTCCTCTAGGCTTAAGTCATCGCCAACAACAACAACAAGAACAAAAACATTTAAAGAAAGGTGGCTAGCCATCTTGAAAAAAAAATAACTAAATGAATACATCTGAAATGAAACTTACAATGTCCTCATATCTAAAATTAAATAAAAATCTAAGCTTAAAAGCTGCTTTTGGGATGATTTGTTTGCAGCTACCCATGGAGACAGGTTGGAAGGCTACTGACCAGAGTTGTGGACAAAGCGCACACCTGGGAAGGGATGCGCACATGAGTGAGTGCATGGTACTTAGAACACTGACGGGGGTGAAGACATGGCCTTTAATGACAGCTAGAGGGGTTCTGATACTCTCTTCTGGCCTTCATGAGCAACTGTATCCGCACACGCTTAACCTTCACACAGACCCTCCTACACGCTTGTAATTAAAAAAAACAAATAGCCGAGCTATGACCGTGCACACCAATGCACGCCTTTAATCCCTGCACTTGGGAAGCAGATACAGAAGAATCTCTGAGTTTGAGGCCAGCCTGGCATATACAGTGAGTTCTAGGATAGCCAGGGATACACAGAGAAACCCTATCTTGAAAAACCAAATAAACACACAAACAAACAACCAAATAGAATTTTTACAAAGAGAAGAGCTGATTTAAACGGTAGGTTCTTCCAAAAGCATGAGTTTGCAAATCGGTGTAATAAGAAACCTGTCAGCTTGTATTTTCTTATCCAACTACAGAATTAACCAGTAAGAGTATAGACTGAAAACAAACATGCCAACAATCTCATTTCCACCCTTCAAAGAACTGTTGGTATTAATTTAAAGTGATCACTAAAGTCATGGATTTGTGGGAAAATGAGACAAACTTGAAGAAGACACTCATTTCTCCTAAAAACGAAAACCAAACTATAGTTTCAATCTGGCATCCCTCCTGAAGGGACTGGGCTGCCAACAAGGCAAGAAGGCCACTACCTGCCAACGTGTCCACGCCCACTGCCGGCTGGGTCAGTGTCTTAACTTTCTTCTCTGTGTTCTCTCTAGACAGTAATGAATGCCAAGGGCAGGAGACTGAGAAAATAAAGTACCTTTCTGATCCAAGCTCCAATTCCCACTCCTCCACCCCCACCCCCCACCCCGGTAAAAGAAACTATTCCTAGAGAGTCCTAAGACCATGGTTCCTTATTTTAGATTGGGTGGAAACATTCTCTGTGAACCGAAGTCATCATAACCATCCCTCAGAGACCTCTCTCAACCTGAGAGACTTATCAGTGATATTTCTAAAGTAGTCCAGACGTGGGATAACAGCCAACAAAGAACCTGCTACACGCAAACCAAAGGAGAGGAGAACCAAGCTGCCTCAGCAATGACAAAGGAAGCTCATATGCGTAAGTGGCTTCATGGGCCCAAGAATCTTGAGTGACTCAAATTCAAATGATTTAGGAGCCCACCAAACACTGTCCTGTAATAGAAGTTTTGTTTTCCTTGTTTTCAACTCAGTTATGTTATGTAAATATGGTTTTGTTTTAAACCCGAGTGTGGGATCTTAGTTTGGGCTTTAGTTTGTCTACAGCTGCTCATGCAGTAGAGAGAGGCATGGTCTGGGACTCTGAGGGATATAAATATAGGAGCCCGGAGAGAGAAAGTGTGGCGCGTGGTGTTGGCTTGTGGGTGTTAGCAGTTTGGAGTGAGCAGAGACCGACAGTATGGCTGTGTTTGCTGTTGACAGAGATTGGGATAGCCCCAGGGGAACCCATCAACCCGAAACAGCTGGAGAGGTAATGGGGTCTGTACCCCCACTCCCCACTAACCTTCTCTCTCCTACCTAGGGTTGGGGGGTTGGAAGGGAGAGGCGTTAAGGAACCCCAAATAAAGCAGAGTTTTAAAACGAGCACAACACTGTCCTCCAAAGATAAATACAAATGTGGCTGCTGGCCTCAGCCCCACACAGGTTACCACTGCTGCATGATAGTGTCTACAGTTCAGAATCTAGATGACCAAAAGCCAGCCCAGAACCACTCTTCCCAGCATACGGTCGCGAGTGGGCTTACTGTGTCCACGTGATAGTCTCATGAGTCGAGATGCTGCCTTACCACATCCCACAGAGGCACGCTTCCTGGATAGTCAACAGCCTACAGTCTGGTTCTGAAGAACAACTGTTCAACTGTACATAAATATTTTACAAATACTGACTAACTCTGGGGCAAATACCTAAGGTGAAGGCTCTAAAAAATAGAAAAAAAAAAAACCTATCAAAGTAATAACGGTTTTAAACACTGCTCCCGTCCCATCAACTGACTTTGCTCGGAATCTGCTCAGCTCTTGCACCTACCCCTACGTAGCTGATAAACTGCACAAACTTCTACGTTGACTTGAGGCTGTGCTTCCAAACGTGACTCCACCACAGGACAGAACTAATAGAGTCTCAGAGAACAGACGAACTTCATGTCCTATCCCTGAATGGAACATTCCCCCATGCATCTGAGGTGTAAACACTCTGTTGTGAGATGTAGGAACAATTTCCTTGCTAGTTTCCTTCCAATGGGGGCGTTTTCAGTTTTCCACTCAAGTATGCCTTCTTTCCTGAAAATCACTCATAATTTTAAAAATGACTTAAGTATAACCAACTGGGTCATAAGATTCTAACAAGTGTCATTAACTTCTCCTCACTCTTCTTGGGAATTGTAAGTTGTCTATCACTGTCAGGGGTACCATGAGAGGGGTGTAACTGAGAAATTGTGATGTCCTGCCCTTTTTATGGTAATTTAATTTCCTTTTTTCACTTTTTTTCTCATGGCATTCATGTTTCATTTTTGTTCAAGGTAAGTCAAGAGACAATGACAATAATGATCCTAGAATGATCCTGCATATTTCATATGGGCTTCCTAGTCCAGATGCAAATAATTTATCATCTGAAATTGGCTTGAGAGTTCCAATTCAGGGAGGGATTTCCTCCTAGCTCACAGAAGAATCAAGTTATCAGACAAATTGTATTTTCACAAATACCTGAAGCCAAGAGTGTTTATGCAATATTCAAACACACACAAACAACACAGACTGACAGAGTTGAAAGCAGAACTGACCACAAAGACATGTTGGCCAGTTTGTAAAAATTAGATTTTGTTCTTAAGAAATTGAATTGATAAATTTCTTTTCACTGACACAGCTTGTTGTAAGAACACTTTTAATAATATTCTCCCTTTTCTCAGCACTGGAATCCTTCTACTAACTTCCCTCAAAGCCAAAATAAGGCGGGGGGGAACTGGGCTAGGAAGAGAACGGTGCAGCTGCGGCACCAATTTTAACAACCTCGTGTAGTATATGTTGAAATGTGATTCACAAACTCAGAATTTGTTTTTGTTTTTAAGTTGCTTTATCTCTATCATTAGGAAATACAGAAGCCATAAAAAATGTAATCTCTACTCACTTCTCTTTATCATAATGATGAGGGACATCTTAATTTGTACGGCTTCGACCTAAGTCCTGAAGTTGTTTTATATTAAGTTAAATAAAGTAGTCTCTATAAACTCCAAGCACCTGCCTGAGGATGCTCTGGGACTGAGCCTGGGACAGGGAGGAAGCAAACTATTTAGGTAGGTGGGCTACAGACAACTGTGGGCTACAGAGAACTGAGGGCTACAGACCACTGTGGGCTGCAGAGAACTGAGGGCTACAGAGAACTGGCAACTGGGCTTGACACAGACTGAAGGATGAAATGAGAATGTAGATAGTTAGCTCACTACAAAGCCACATGCCTTCTTATCACCAGTGGTAACAACATATTTTTAAGGAACATTTGTTTGATTCATATCTTAAAATGCATCTGCTGGAAATGAAAGCAATTAGTAGGTTTTGTAAACCAACCCAGGCTAAGGAAGCTGCATATCCCCAATCTGTCCCTCTTAGCTACTCTATAATCAGCTGATATCAGCACTTTTTGTTTCAAATTTGGAATTTCACATTTCAAAACATTAAATGATTTTCCCCTTTTCCTTAGAACTGAACATCCTTATGAGACCACTTTAATTACACTGTAAAAGGACAATTTCAGTTAAAAAAAAGTATGTCATTTATTCAAGACTATTTCGTGAAACTAAAAAAAGAAGATGCAAAACAAACAAACAAAAAGATGCGTATTCAATGGTTCAAACAGCTAGACTGATGGTTTTTTTTAAATCAAAACGTGGCCATTTGAACTAAGTCTGCTGTTACCTCGGGAACGCCAAGTTTTCTGCACGCTTCCAAGAAGTTTTCCACATTCCTTCTGCACTTGGCCATGCTGAGTTTGGGCTAAAAATGCAAACGTAGAAAAACAACATATTATTAAGATAAGTTATCCAGAAACATCCATCTAGAGACAAAAAACTTAATATTGTGGGTCATATTCTTAGACTGTGTGGGCATACAGAGCTAGACATATGTCTATATATGCGTGTTAGCTGTTTAGATAAACGCAAGTATGTAACTTTAATATGCACATATGTGAGTGTGCATGACAGGTTTTCTGCTCCCACGTCTAAGTATCTGTGTATGCGCACATGTGCACACACACACACACACATTTCTGTGGGACCATATAGTGGGTATAACCTGTTTCAGTTCACCTAAAAATATACCATAGGCATCACCTTTCTCTAAAAGGTATTTCGATACAGGGTTAAAATCCATGAGGCTAATTGTCTCCTCATCAAAAAAAAAAAAAAAAAAAAAAAAAAATAGATTTAACCCAAATCTTCCCACTGCTGCACTGACCTTCACTTCAGAAAGTATAGATGGATAACAGGTTCATTTGATTCATACGGAAAAAAATTTTCAACAGCAATTTTAAACACTTGTGGATTGCTTGGCTGTTCCAGGACAGCCAAGACTACATAGGCAAACTCTGTCTAAAAAATAACCAATACATACATACTTACACACATGCATACATACATAGAAATCTTTAGACCTCTGCATTGTGTTGAGTGATAGAATTCACTGTCTTTCTTTAAGGTTGCTAGAGAAGCCACATTGCCCCCCTCCCCCACCATCATATTTCTGAGTCAAAAAGGGTGGTCAAACTTTTGAAAGAAAAAAGCAGTGTTAATAGTATTGAAAAAAAAAATCAACTGACAGTTGAAATGAGATCATTAGCTAATTTTTCTGCTGTCGGGAGAAAACAAAGCGGGATAAACCTGCCGCAGTGAGAGCTCCCTGATGGAGGAGCTCAGGCACTCCACACAAGTGGTCACTCAAGACACACTGATTACATGGCTGAAACTGGACCTTGAGATTAGTGGCCCTGCTCTTTATAAACATGGACAGTAGCAGCGGCTCATGTTTACACGTCCTGTCTCTCTAGCACCTCATTTCATCTTCTCAAGAGCAGGTCTGTTTCAGAGAAGGGCATACCAAGCTAAAGACAGGATGCAACTTGCCCAAAGCTTTTAGACACAGGTCTGGAATCTTAATCCGTCCCCTCATCTTTGCCCCCAATGCTTCAACTTTCCCTGACACACCAAGTCTGTTGAAAGAAACTCTCTCTGCTCTGGTTTCTGTAATCCTCTGTGGGCTTCAAAGACAAGCCTATTTCTGAGTCCTCCAGTCTTGCAGGCAGGCTCACAAACTGCCCCTGTAGCTTTCTTTCACCTGCCCCAGGCTCTGTGATATCTGACAAGGGTCAGGGCCAAGATTATAGCTTCTTGGAAAGCACCTGCTTGGTAGGCAGAGGCCCTGCTTTTGATCCCTGGCAGAGGAAGGAGAGGAAAGAGAATGGGGAGGGAGGAGATGAGCCAGCTGAGTGATGCCCTAATCTGTAGGTTATACGGGTACTTTCTATATTTTTATATCTTCATAAACTATTGTAAAATCCCCAACGGTGTTTTAAAAAAAGAGACCCCAACCAGTAACTCCAGCAGTCGGGAGGTTGAGGTAAGAGGAGTACAAGGCCAGGGCCAGCTTGGCTTATCTAGTGACTACACAGTAAGACCCTACTGAGAAAAAAGCATGAGACAGTCCTTTTAGAAAAAGCTGTCAACCAGACAGCCTTCTGAATTAACACCTCATTGTTTAAATATCCCTTTGTGTGGGCTGAATCTCTGGGCATTATGGCCTTTATTCCACCTTATCAGTCGGTAACTTATTTTTAAAATTCTTTTATTATTATTAATTATTTCAATTTATATCTCAGTCGTAGAGCCCTCCCTCCTCTCTTCCCAGTCTCACCCTCTCTCCTGTATCTACTCTACCCCATTCCTCCCTACCCAGACACCCCAGCTCATCTATTCACATGGGGACTGAGTTCCTCTTCCTCCCCTGTGGCCTGGTAGGGAAGTCCCATCAGGGAAAAGTGATAAAAAAAAAAAAAAAGCAGGCAACATAGTGCATGACAGAGATATGCTGGTGACCCTACATGAAGCCTAAGATGCCCAGTGGACTTATCTTCTTGGGGTCTGTGCATAGTAGGTCGATCAGAAAACTTGGAATAGCCATACCTGAAGACTCAGCTATACCACCCCTGGGCATACACCTGAAAGATGCTCCGCCATACAACAAGGACATCTGCTCAACCATGTTCATAGCAGCTATGTTTGTAATAGCCAGAAATTAGAAACAACCTAGATGTCCCTCAACTGAAGAATGGACAAAGGAAACTGGTACGTTTACACAATGGAATACTACTCAGCCATTAAAAACAAGGAAATCATGAAATTTGCAGGCAAATGGCTGGAACTAGAAAAGATCATCCTGAGTGAGGTAACACAGACCCAGAAAGACACACATGGTTTATACTAACTTACAAGTAGATTTTAGTCATACGGTACAGTAGAGACATACCACAATCAGTAACTTCTTTAAACACCACACCTGAGAGCTATTTTTCTGTTTTTCCCATTCTCGTTTTTTAATCATCTCCCTTTAGTGACAATGCTACCTCCTCAGACTCCCTCCATTGCTCTGTTCTTCCTGTTGCGTGGGGTCCAGTGGAACGTGTCTGGGGTAGGCTGCAGGAGACCCAACTGACATCTTTAGCCAAACACCCTATGCAAAGAGAGCCCGCTCCATGCCAGTTTTCCTCCATCTGGCATTACTTACAACCGCAGGGGAGGGAACATGGATGCTGGCGACAGATCGCGGACGGATGTGGTTGGCCAGGTGGCAGAGCACGACACCGTCCATGAGCGCCGCCCCCAGGTCGTCATGCAGGGTCACCTTCAGCCTCATCTCGATGCTCTGGAGGTGGGAAGCAGAAAGGAGCCAGTTGCTATGGGCACCTCGGCACGTTAAGGGTTAAACGCAGCTGTCCATATCTATGAATGGAAGTGCTACTCTCCCTGCAGGGACAAGGGCGAGAATGTCTGGCAGCGGGGAGAAGGCTCTGTCAGGGAAGTGTCGGCAGGGATTCAAGTTTGACACAAGAACCTAAAGAGTCTGGCATGGTAGTGTATGCCTGCAATCCCAGCGCCGGGGCAATGAACTCTGGAAATGAACTAAGCTAGCCAGCCAGCTTAGTCTGGTCAGCAAGGTCCAGGCCAGTGAGAGAGAGAGAGAGACCCTGAATCAAAAACAAAGATGTACACGGCAACCAAGGAGTACCTGAGGTCATCTCTTTGGCCTCCACACAGCCACACACACTCACACACACTCACAAACACAAACACAGAAAGAACCTCTGGAAAACATTCGTTGTCAGTTAAATGTTTTCAAACATATTCTTTCAAACCCTCCGTTTAAAGACAGATTCAGTTGTACTGAAGTGTTTCAGTTAAAGACTACAGAACTAAAACCAGGATGTGTGCAAGGCTTCCAGGCCAGCCTTTTCAACACGCACACTGCTGCTTTGATTCTGAATGTCACGGCCACATGTCACCGCCCAGTACCTCGCGGAGCTGCTCCACCAGCTCTTTCTCTTCTCTCATCTGCTCCATTTTCCTCCGAATCGTAAACTGTGGGTCTATAGATTCCAAATTTCTCTGAGGTCTTAGAAACACTGTAATAGAAACGGAAAAAGAAATCAATCTGTGTTGCTACACAGGGCTATCTATGTCTATTTCAGTTAAACAAATTGCTTATTTATCCCAGATTATATTTATCATTCACGAAAACAGAGAAATTCCAGATTCATAGCAAAAGTTTCATATGAATACTCTAAGAAAGATTCTCTGCTGAGTCATTCTAGGTTGTGTGTACTACAAAGCTGGTTTTGCGGTGACAACAAACTGAACTGAGGGACAGGCCTCATGGGGTGGAGATGAGACCACGCTGTCACTCAGACAAATGCACCATCTCTCTCACTTTCACTGTTATCTTTTGTCCTAATTGAAATTCTAATCATCAGCTTTATCCTTCTTTAAATGTAAATAATTTCGATCAAATAAGAAGGTATTAGAATTGACTTATATGTTAAAAATGGGTGCAGAAAACACCCTCCATCAAGAACTAAGCCATGATGCTCTGGACTACATATTTGTGAACAGAATAGGAAAATTCTGCCTTCTGTCCCATTGCTGGCGAGGTGTTCAAAAAGCCAGCTCTTTACAGATAGGTACAGATTACTGCCAGAAGGGCTGGCCGGATTACAGATGGCTTCATCGCCACTGGCCTGAGGTCCTTAAGGTTTCCTACCAGAGCAGTGACTGGAGCCAGTGCCTGGTCTGAAGGAGTTAAGAAAATACATATAGTTATGAACACTGTCTGCTCTTCCGGGGGACTCAGGTTCAATTCCCAGCACCCACATGGTGTCTCATACTTATTATCTGTAACTCCATTTCCAGAGGTTCTGATACCTTCTTCTGGCCTCTGGGGGCACCAGGGATCGACATGGTAAACAGACATACATGTAGACAAAATAACGGTGGGTATAAAAGTAAAAACAAATAAAATGTTTTTTAAATTAAAAAGAAAATAAAATATACACTGTCCTGGGCTGGGTGTGCAGCTCAGTAGTGGAGTGCCCGCCCAGCATATATGAAGTCCTGGGTTCGGTCCCCAGCACTGTGCAGAACGGAGCAAACAAACAATGGGAAAACCCCACAGAAACTGTAGAGTCTAAACTTCTAAGCAGTAACATCAACTGGGATGGTTAAAATATATATCCTATATATGGCTTTCCATCATCTTTGCACCCATGGAGGCACGCCAGGAACAGGACTTCTAAAAACCACGTATATGAGGAAGGCTGTGTTTGCAAGGCCGTTCTTGCTGACTATAAGAAGAAGGGATGTCTCAACAACCCATGGCTCTTCTTAAAATTGAAGGTGTATATGCCAGAGATGAAACTGAATTCTCCTTAGGCAAGAGATGCACTTAGGTATATAGAGCAAAACACATCCTAGTGATTCCCAAAGGCAAACTAAAGAAAACCAGAATAATCTGGGGAAAGAGAACTCTGGCCCACGAAAAGAGAGGCGTGGTTTGTGATAAATTCCCAAGCAATCTTTTTGCAAAAGACTGCTGGATACGGAATCTGTGTGATGCTGAACCCCTCACAGATCTGAGCTAGTGAAAAGTAAATAAATAAAAGCGGATTTGCAGTCTTATAAAAATATTCTACCTGTAAAGAATTTTACATGTAGAAACTTACAGACTGGGCATAGTGGTACACGCGTTTTATCCTAGCACTTGGAAGGCAGAGGCAGATGGATCTCTGTGAGTTAATGATCATCTTGGTCTACATAGTAAGTCATACACCAGCCAGAGTTGGACAATGAGGCCCTGTCTCAAAAAGGGGGCGGGAGGTGGGCAGGGACTGATTTTACCAGGAGTCTTAATTAAGGTTTCCTTACTAGAGATTCCTTAGCCCGGAGACACAGAGCTGTTGGAGAGTGGGATGGTCTGGTTTCCTCTGTCTACAGTTTTAGATGGGCCTGGGAGGTGGTGGCGCTGGCTGGGGCTGAGTCACTCCAGACAGTCTGTGCAAAGAAGCCCCATGTTAGGATCGCCACCACCTAGTAAGGGGCACGGATGCCACCACAGCTGAATGGATGCCACAACTGCTGCAGATGCAGCCATGTCACTTAAACAGCGCTGAAGAGAAGGCGTCTACAACTTCCATTCTGTCATTTCCTCCAGGAAATGGCTTGCGAATGTAACACTTGGAGAGAAAGCCTGTGTGCGTGCCATGTAATGAATTACACGGTGCTCTGGGATGGTATCCATCTTAATCTGCAGTTTTCTTTCTACATGGGTTCAAAGATGCAGAACCAGCACCAAAGCGCTTGGGAAGCCTTGACACAACCGTAGACTCACACAGTTCCTGGAGGATGAGGCTGACCGAGTGGGTACAGGGCTTTCTGGAATGGCAGAAAGGAGCCTGAGCCCTGGACTTAGGATGGAAGCGAACCAAAGAAGTCGCCGGTAAGAAAGCCAAAAGGGATGTAATAGGAAATCTCCCACCAAAGCTTCCCACAGGAAGCCAAAGCCCACAGGAAGTAAGACCAATTCAAAAGAAAGAAAGAAAGAAATCCAAAGCTAGCAAGAGAAGGACAGTATGATCAGAGTGGGAGAGGGGGATCAGAGAAGAAAATGAGGGAAAGTTGACAAATCAGAAGCATGGACGAGCACACAAAAACCCGACAAAAGCAGCACAGCAACTGGAAGAGAAATACAACATAAAACCTAGCAACCTCCTGTCCCAAAGAGGCTAATGTGGACACAGCTTGGTAATGCATGCACGTGCCACCAAGGGGCGTCGTGACGCCCATCTCAATGGTCCTACTGTTTACTTTGGAGGTCACTGCCCTTTCGCCTTTATTCCTAGGGAAATCTTATCTAATACAGCATCCTTAATATTGTCAATCTGTTTTTGTTGGATGACTTCATTCAGAATATGAAAATATGAGGAAGTTAAATGAGCTGTACTCTCTGGTTTAACGGCACACAGCTCAGGCATCTGTGTTAGCAAAGCCTCGTGAGGGACAGCAGGGTGACACAATGAGGTCTGGGCTTTAATGCCGTGGTGGTATGCCTGTTGGTTTTAAATTCCTGTGCATCTGAAAAACAAAACAAAACAAACAAAAAACAAAGCCTACATGCCGATGTATCTTTTCTGTGAACAGCAAGCAATCAGAAAGTGTTAAAAATGTTATGTTGGTGTGCAGGCAAGTCAACTGGCCTGCCCTCAGGCCTTTATAGAGTCCTGACAACGTGCTTAGTCACCACCAGCATCCTATGGCATAACCTGGACCAGGTGCTCAGGATATAACCCACCTGGTACCCCGCTTGCTCTCTCTCTCTCTCTCTCTGGGATGGTTCCCTTCTTTCTTCCCTCCCCGCTTTCCCACAATAAACTTTCTTCCTTGTACCAAATATGATGTGGAGGATCCTTAACCAATATTATAGTAAATATTCCAACTGTAGTTTATAATTTTTAACAAATATTTCAAATGTATGCATAATTATTGGAAATGAGGAATATATGTATATATACACTAAAATTACACAATTAATTATAACTACTGTGGAATTTTAAAGAAACACTTTCAGCTAATAAACCTGTCGGCTTATTTGTTATTCTCTCTTTGCAGAAACCACCTTCTGATCCATTCGGGAATTATTCACTTGTGATAATTCCGTATCACCGCACTTTACGAGCTCCCTACGCAATTCAGGGGAAAGGTTTGACTTGAGACTATTTAACAATGTTAGAAATGGTCAGCACCTGCTTTTCAGTATCATCCTGCTGAAATATAAGTTAAAAGGTGGGGGAAGTGAGCCCTTTGTGAGTGTGTACGTGGCCTCGCATACATACATACCTGTGTGCGGGCAAAGTGGGGGTGAAGGGGTGAGCAGATGACTGAGCTACAGAGAAAAATGAGCCCTTTGCTGTCTAATTATCAGGGGGAAAATCAGTAACGGTTACAACAGAACACAAGACCTGCTGGTTATAGTTCACTTTTTGGGAGAAAAATCTCTAAACATAGGCCTGAGGGGGATGGCGACATACAAATACAGAGGATTCCACTGATCTTTCCATCCTTGAAGGTCACTGGCTTCTTCACTTTATCCCCAAGCTGGTATAATCTCTACTTCCTGTGCACATCCGAAGATGCTTATCTGTGTGTCTCTCTTGGTACTCATCACTCTGTGTGACTACATACATGACTGCAAGAGCCCGATCGCATGCTCTGCTGCATGCCACAGAGTGGTATGCTGGGACACATGTCTGCCGATGAGCAAATGAAACACATTTCAAAACCTCTCAGGAAAGATCGGTGTATCTGAAGATTATCTTTACAGAAATTACCTTCTTCTGATAACTAGTTTCTTAATTTCTTCTCTCACAGAAAAAGCCCCAATTACTTTCCAGGACTGAATACACTGCCCTCTAAATTAAGGTTCCACAACAGCAGAGACGGTGTCTTTTTCAGAGCTGCATGTATGTTAGGGTCATTACGCTTTGCACAGGAAAGCACTTAACAGGTGCACAAAACACACACACAAAGCCCTTTCTCCAACTGCTTTTGGTTAAGCAAAGAAAGCCCCCAGTTCCAAAGCAGAGACTAAATGCTCTTTACGGTTTCACTGATAAAAAATAAATAAAATAAAAACAACAACAGCAAAAAAAGCAAACAAAAAACTATGTACTTTGCATGCAATTAAAGGAAATACCTTCTCAGTGGAAGCATGGGGCTTTGAAATTTAGCTTCCTTTTTCTTGGACGTTAAGACTGTAGACTAGAGTGCCTTTTAATATACTCAAATGCAAGGGCAGGAATACAATGACTTTGAAAAAAATATAACCTTTGGATTCCAGCTCTTGGGAGTTAGAAATCAGGCAAACAATTCATTCATTTCCTCCTCGGGCTGCAAGCAAATTAGGTACATTTACTGCCCTTCAAAGGATGAATGTCCTCTCTATTATCTTGGGCAGTTTACTTACTCAGATGTTGACAATCTTATGTCTGTGTACACATAAACAAGAAACAAGCAAATGATTAGACCTCTACGACAACGTTCGCTTAATATCTCTGAACCTGGGAACCCAGCATTCTAATTTGAAGCCAGAGCTGGGGCCACTGAGGAAGCTCCCACACCCTCAGCTTCCTTATTTTTGTAATGGGGAAAATAAAACCATAGTGCTAGGTTGTTACCACAAAAGAAACAAAGGTGTCTGTAAGCTGGCCAGAGATAGATGCCCACTCACTCTTACAAAGATCAACCTTAAACAAGTCTAAATTAACACCCATCAACTCACCACAACTGAAAAGGCGGAAACGCCCTAAAAGAAGCCAGGATGGGTCTCTGACTTCCAAGTAAACTGGAAAAGGGAAGACTAAGCCGCAGAAGAAGGCCCAGGAGCTAGGGCAAGAGAAGAGGGTGACTCCTCAGGAAGCCACACCAGCCTGTGGTAGGGCAGGCGGAGCTACAGATGGACTTCCATGCCATGCTGTTCCTCTCAGGAGACTGATGTATCTCTGAAGACTATGCTACAGAGAAAACAGTGAATTTAAACTGTGCTCAACCTGGAACAACATGTTGGAAGGGATTCAAGTGAAAGGAGAAATTTTTGTGTGCAAAGAAAGTGAAACAATGAACAGAAGGATTAATATTCCAAGTTGGTCAAAGTGATAACTAAGAGTTATGCTATGGTAGTCTAAGCTGGCTCATTTGCAAGGCTGAACAGCCAGCCACTGGCATCAGATACAGAAGAAACTCAGGCACATTCCTGCACATGCCAAGAAGGCCTACAGAGTAGAACTGTCTGGTTGTATGGAAGCATTTCGAACACAGAAAGTGGGCCACACCCCTCAGCTCCTCTTCCTGGAGACCTACAGCGCTGCTTCATCAACTAACTGACTTAGAGAACAAACTGCAGTCACAAGGCAAAGGCTAACACAGAGAATGAAGATGTGTGTGACGACTTTAGACAAACCAGAAATAAAGAAAAATGAAAACCCCCAAAATCATCTGACCTGGTTACCCAACCCAGAAGAACACAACCCTTTTATTATTGCCACGGTGCTGTAAATCCCTGGAAATATAAAGGCTATGTAATAAATGCAGGGTTATTTCACTTTTAGATGTTTATAGTGACTATCTGTTGTGGACATCTCGGAAATTTTAATGAAAAGAAAGCCTGGCCTAGCCCCGCACACAACAGGTCCTTACCTGTACAATGAGTGTCGATTTGTCGGACAGAAGACAGTCAAGAGCTGGGAAGGCAGGCCTACCCAATCCCTGTCTCAGCCATATCCACAAAGCACCTGGCCTTTCTGATTTTAGTTGGTTCACATGGCAGCATAGACATTCTACTGTTTAAAGTTTTTGTATCTTTCCCAACTTAAAAAGTCCTCTTGTTTCGGACACCATTCCTAAGGAAATAACAACTCACACACAATCTCTAAAAAACTAGATTTATTTCTGGTAAGCAACATCACACCCGTAAGGGGCCAGGCTTTCAGAAAAACAGAACCGCTTCTTCTTTGTGACTTGGCCATCTAGTTTTAAACAAAAGAACAGCTTATGGAGAAAGTTTCCATCTAACCCTCCTCCTCGGCTTCCAGAATTTAAAGCAGGATGACATAAGGAGGGGATTTTTGTTCCATGATTGTTTGTTTTGTTTTGTTTTTTAAATCATGATTATTTTCAGTGAAAAATTTAGACCAGCAGTTCTCAACCTGTGGGTCATGACCCCTTTGAGGCTCAAATGGCCCTTTCACAGTGTCACACAAGACTGTCAGAAAACACAGATGTTTGCATTAGGATTCATAACAGTTAACAAAATTACAGTTATGAAGTAGCAACAAAAATAATTTTATGCCTGGGGCTTACCACAACATGAGGAACTATATATATTAAAGGGCTGCAGCATTAATTAGTAAGGTTGGGAACCCCTGCTTTAGACAACTATAAAATACTAATAGTCTTGTAGAATCGCCTACCAGAACACACTCATCCTTTAATAAATGGAAAATTCGGCTGAAGTTTATCCAGAGACCATGGGAAGTGTTCTAGCTATGCATTTCCCAAGCATTATAGATAACATACTTAGCTAACAATTTATGTTAGAACTCATGTTAACAACTTAGGTTTGTGTGGTGGCTATGGCTCACATCTTGCTCATTTGTCTCATTTAGTATTTCGTCTATCACTTTGTATTTTGAGGTTAAAATATTTACAATCTGAGCCAGCACTAAACCAGAACAGAGATCCAGATATACGTACTATATAAGATCTAAATAATTTTATGTTTATGTTGGATGGCTTGGGATATCTAATTATACAAAATTAAGACATTCATCTTAAGACTCACTACTTGCTTCCAGTTTTCAAAAATGTACACATTATTTTTAGACTTAACTCAGTAGCCTTTAGTGTAAGTGAATTCACACCAAAAAAAATAATAAAAAGTCAAAATGTATAAAATCTTTGAAAAGGGGGAAAAGCAATTTCTGCTCATTTTTAGAAACGTCTCAAAGTTAACATTATTCTCAGTGCAAAACTCTAGGATCAGCCATGGTACCTTTAAACTGCCTTAAAAGCTCCACGTGAACATACATAATAAAAGATCAACCTTATTTTTTTGAGGCAGGGCTCAAAAATGTAGCCTTGGGTGGCCTTGGACTCAGTATGCTCCTGCCTCAGCCTCCCCTATGCTGAGACTGCAGGAGTGTCCCACCACACTCACATCCTAAAAACACAAACTCTTTTAATGAGCAGAGAGAAGGCAAATGTGTGAGTTCAAATCTTTGCAGATCAGCAGACAAACCAGCGCAACCCCAAGCAAAACAGGTAGAGAATAGAGTATTGGAAAACCCTTCCCAGCACCGGCATCCTCAGGGTGTGTAAACGTTCACATCATTAACTGTTAGGCAACCCTTCACCGGCATTTATCTAGGCTTTGCCTTCAAGGCCGCCTGAGTAAGGAGCATGCAGGTCAGTCCATAAAATGTCTCCAGCTCTACACGGAGGAACTGGGCCGGACAGTCACTGGCTTATTCACAAGAACATCGAAGAAGAGACGAGAAACACCTACCATTGTCACTGTCTCCTTCGGATGGAACACTGTAGCTAGAGTTGTCCCATGTTTGTGCCTGTGTAAGTTTGTTGAAGGAGATAGGAGGGAGAATGAGGGCTGGGTCTGCAGGAGAGCGAGAGAGCCAGGCGGGCAGTTGCACAAGGACCAGGGAAAACCAAAGGGGCCGCAGCATTTCACAGGTTGCATACGGTTCGTATGGAAATGAAATGGATTGCATTACATGGGGTTTAAATTCAAATGTACGAATATAGGAGGAGAATGAGAGATGGCGCATGGAATAAAAAGAACGATAGAAACTGGATGTTAGTACTCATTGGTCATATACTTCGCATGCAGTTAATATCCTTAAGCTTAACAGTTCTGCAAGCCTGCAGCCTAGGGTACTAATGGGTCATGGCAGTACAAGGAAAGAACACTCATAATTTGTGCAATTGAAAGCAAAGGCCTTCCGGACACCCTTTGCAAACCCCTTCTAAGCAACTAATCTGTAGATACAACTGCAAAATTCACCCAGAACTGCTGATCACGTTAGACAAAGCTCAAAATGTATACATGTAATGTTACTTAGAAACAAAAGCATTACAGAAGAATTGTGCATGCTTTTTAAAAATCAAGATAGTAGAGTTTTTTTCAAGATATTCCCTTACCCTCTGTAAGGTTTCATAGGGTGGTTTATTAAGGACTGAACCTCATAATTCTGCCTTTAACTCTTGAAATGCCTTAAACCCACTTTTGAGTATTGCTCAGTAAAACATTTTTGGATACTCAATACCATCTACATAGCTATAAATCTAACTAGCTAGCAACAACAACAATAAAAAAATCTTCAAAGAACTTCTAAGCTAGCTATTTATAAAATGATAATACATCTCAATTTTGTGTTCAATATCCAGAGATTAATTTCATTGGTTAGTTAAGGAATCCACCACTGGAACCTTGGAGAGGAAATAGTATTTATATTTTTCCCCAGCTTTAAACTAACACTCTGTTTTTCATCTCTTCACAGAATTTGAATGGTGGACAGTGCAGGCCCGAGGCAACCTCTGACTTGGTAAGCTGAGGCTGACCTCTATAAATGCACTGAAAGTCAGCGAATCAATTTTGTAACTAAAGTAACAGGGTACAACATTCAAAAGGACTATTAATCGTTGGAGACTCAGTCGCCTTTTGATTTCAGTTATGAACCGTTTTTAAATTTTGCAAAACTCTCCAGAAGGCTTAAGAGAGCCTCTAGCCCAAAATGAGGCAGAAGAGATGCAACAGTGGGTACCTCCATCTCTTCCAGAACATTCTGGGATTACGGAAATCAAGGCACAGCCCAGTTCTGGCTGTATATGTCCTACTTTTATACATGAGGAGGCCAGTCATTTGAGTTTTATAGAGCTCTGTAGCAGGGTGCTTACTTGGCTTGTACAAAGGCCTGGGTTCAATTCCAGGATAGAAAGACAAAAACAAAAGATCCAGAAACTCTGGTCACACTAGAGGCATTTTTTCCAACCCGTTTTTTTTTTTTTTTTTTTTCCTTACAATGTTCTAATGGCCAGGAAACCTCCGCACCTGGCCATGTGCTGCCCATCAATCAATGTGTTCCCAGAACAAAATATTTCCTTTATAAATGAATCATCTTTGTTTTTTTCCCATAGCGACCTTTATTTTAAGCCAGAAACATGTAACTCATACTATTGTCAAAATTCTCCCCCCCCCAAAAAAAAAAAAAAAACAAAAACAAACAAACAAAAAAACGAAGAACACCTGTGTTCTCTACCTGGCATGCTTACACGTGTTGAGGTCTGTTATAGGAATCCACATGAAAGCATTCACGGTAAATACACTAACTACTAAAGGAACAAAAAAATTTAAAACGAAAAAGGTCCTAAAAAAAGGCAGATAGCACCAAAACTCGCAATACAGAAAGAAGTAAGAAGAAATGTATTATTCTGTCTAGGATCCTTTTTTTAAAAACGAAAAGTAATTTTTGCACATTGCTGTAGTTATTTTTGGCAATACAGTAACACAAATTCAAATAAAGTATGTTAAAAAGTAAATGCTTTGCCCTAAGAATTTTTCCCCTGACCCTTAACCACTCATACAAGCCTTAAAAGGCTCACTCTCCTGTGTGAATAAATGCGGAGACCTTACCACAGTTCGCAGAGCAACTGGGGACATCTTGGGGAGGACACTGCCTTCAGCCTGCCCTTTATCTCAACAGGGTAGCATGAACCTTTGGGGTCAAGGGGAGCTATTTTATTTTCCACGGCTGAAAACTTCAAGGTAATGCTCCTTCCTACTTACATGCTCCCTTTGCCACTTTTCTTTGCTGTGATTCGAAAGAAGGCAAGTTGCTCATTCCTGGAAGCACAGACCAAATAGTTCAATGTAATCAATCACCTGACCTCCCCAAGCTGCAGCGGTTTTGACAACAGGACCCCAGCTGACTAGAACTGCCAACGTTCGTATTTCTCAAGTATACATTTGAAAGGCCAAAGGGAAACCATCCGATTTACTCAGCGTAAGAACGAGCTGAGGTTAACATACCTGAGCGAGGCTTCAGGCCGAACGGAGCTGTGATGTTTGCAGTAGGAGACACTGAGGGTGAGTTCTCTCTCATCTGTGGAGTGAGGAGGAAAAATAAATGATTGGGGGTGTGTGTGTGAAGAATTATTAGAAAACCACCCTGGATTTCCTATGGCTGCATTGTAACAATGCCTAAAAAGTCTTTCTGTAAATGCCTTAAGAGGGAGTGAGTGGAATGCTTCCAGGCACTGTGGTGAATTGCGTTACTATTACTGTCCTTGTTGCATTGCAGTTTTGACTTGCTCGCTCTAAAGCCATCTTGAGGTTGGCACAAAGCTGGTGATCCACCTCTCATCTGACAGAGCTGAGCACATGTGTGCAGAGCACATCTAACGCGGGCAGATGACAACGGTAGCGCTGAGCACGCAGCTCATCCGCACAGAAACTGCATGCGGAACCATTCCAGGTGACAACTGAGCAAATGCCATCTTCGGTATGCCGTTTTCGGTAAAGACATCCCCACACCTGGTTTAAAATTAATCTTCAATTACGTATAAAAGACAAGTGAACTTGTGACGGTGAGTGAAGCCAGTGAGAGAACCCAGAGACCTTCCGCTAACTCACTAATCCCAGACTACGACTATCCATTCCCGTGAAAGACACTGCAGTTCAGTCTGCATGGAATACCTCCGCTTCCATTAATCTTCAGGAATCTTACCTCACTTGGAGAATACTGGCTTCCATTACTCTGTAATGTCAGATCACTTCGCACCTTAAGGGACAGACAAATGTGTAAGTTCCGTTGGGTTGTGAGAAAGAGGAGCCACGGACTAAATCTTTTTTATTTCTATCATAGCCCAGGCCCAGAAGCACACACTGGCAAATGTTGAATCAGTCTGTGTGTTAAGTAGCTAAAAAGCTCATATTTATGCTTTCTAAAGCTATGGAGCTGTATTCTCAGGAAAAAAAAAAATGTTTCTGAAGGATAGCAAAAATAAGAGATCTCCCGCACAGGGACCCTTCCCCAGGACCTATGAGCACATCTTACCTAGCCAGGCTACCCAACTGTCTGCTAGCTCCCTTCTCCATTTAACTATGGTTTTCAGAAATGGTCCAAGCGAGTAGTTCCAAAATACACAGAAGCACATTGGGAGCTTTTAACGAATACACATGCCTGAACCCTGAGTAACTGGTCATTCACGCGACCAGTTTAATAACAGTTTGCTTTGGCAATCACTAGTTAACAGATGTGGCTAAGGAAGCGAGCATGACTTTTACGTATGTACTCTTTAATAAATAAAAAGTTTGGGGATAAAGTAATAAGCACCCTCCTTTACACCACTGTAAAAATGTGAATCTGAGATGCCCAATCTGTTGAGGAGTACTATTTAAAAATACCCCTCGTCTACATGAACCAAGAGAAAAATCCATTTAGAATAAGATGCCTTTCATGTCCCTACCCAATTAGAGGGCCTTGTTAGAACTTCCAGCAAGCGGCATCAGGCTTACCCTTTAGGCGGCTTCTGCTAGTTTTCCCCACTGTTCCCTCAACCTCCACCCTTCAGTGCTACTCATGCACAAGCAGGCACGAGGCATTCTCACCGTGTGGACAGCCACGGCACACGATTTCTCGTGGCCAGTCTTCTCAAGCATGCTTAAGGCAGCTCACGTGATGTGGAGGCAGACCCCTCTACAATCCTTGCCTCATCTCTCAGTCACTGCCCTCGATCCTTTGAGGCCACCCTTGCACGTACACCTCCAAAGTGGCCACCAACTAAGCGTCCTCCCCTCTGGCTGCACTCACTATCCTCTCCCGAAGAACACAGAAAACAGGCTCCGGATGGCAAACCGGAGCAGAGTCTCCTGGAAATGTTCCCAGAACATCTTTTATTCCCTCAACAACTCTGCTACCTCATGGGTCTCACACTCAAAGCCACACCCAGCTCAAGTAGGCAACGAATGTTGGCACACCGATGGTCTGGTGAAAAGGGGTGTAGACACGTAACCAAACAACAAATGGGGCCACAGATACAGGACAAGGAAGACACAGCTTACTTTCCGTTCCCCCATCTCATGACGTCAGACTCGCTGTTCATCCCCTCCTCTTGAAAGTCACAACGACCTGCCTGCCTGTCACAGGCCCAAAGTCTTGAGAAGGAAGACAATAATACCACAGGCCAAACACAACTGCTCACTGAAGCAAAGGAAGACAGGCTTACAGCTTTCTAAACTAACAGAGAGCATCCTAAGCCCAATGGAGATGAGTTCAGGAACCTCTGACCCCCTACAAGCTTCCTTTCCTTCCTTGTGCTCTGGCAATCTTGTTTTGAGATGGGGGTCTCACCATGAAACCAAAATCCTCCTGCCTCAGTTACAGGTATGCACCACCACCCCCGAGCCAGACATGCTGCACCCGCCCTGCCCTGCCCAGGACAGGAAGTTAAAGTGTGTGCAGTTACCGCTCACAGGCTCGAGCACCTGGCCTTGTGCAGGGATGCCAAAAGAAAATTAGACAGCGACAAAATCTCGAGCTGGGCACAGTCTATTTTTAGTGCATACCCATCCACTTCTGTCCTTTTCTATCTCCTTCCACATTCCTGGAAGCACTGCTCATGAACTCGTAAGTATGTTGGCTTCTCCCCTTCTGCCAAGACAAGCTTTTAAGGAAAGGTTCTGAACCATCAGCCTTCACTATGGTCTGGCGTGTGACAAGACTTAATACAAAGAGGCAATAGAGTACGGTGGAATAGTCGGGCCCTATTTGTTACCATGGAAACGGACCCGGTCAGTCTCTTAACCTTGAGCTCCATGCCCTGCACCCATGAATGGGTCATGCTAACGCCTACATTTCCTAATAGTCATCTGGAATATACACCGCTAAGAGCAGGACCTTTGTGGCCCTACAGGCTTCCTCAGTGAGACACAGTCGCACCTAATAATACCTATCAAAGAGATATAAACACAAAGTCCTGACTTCGTGAAGGTTTGACTTGGAAAACCTCTGCTTTACTCTGGTGTAAAAATGCACCCAATCCATAAATCACCATTTTGTTTATCACCTTTATTTATTTGTTTGTTTACTTATTTATTGAGGCAAGATTTCACAGAAGCCCTGGCCTGTCCCAACCTTGTCATGTAGCCAAAGCTGCCACTGAACTTCTGATCCTCCTGGCGCAGCCTCCTGGTACTACAGGTGCAGGCTGCCGTGCCATTTGCTGAATGCTTTCAGTACAATGTCCAATGAGTTACTTCAGATCTTATTATAAAGCAGGCATTATCTGAAATGATTTTACCCCACTACAGGCTAACGTAAGTGCTCTGAACCCATTAGCTAGGCAAAGCAACAATGCTTAGGGTAGGGAGATTTAAATGCATGGTCAGGTTAATACTGTTTTTAACTCAGCAACAGATTATTGGGAACAGAAACCCATTGTAATTCAAGAAGTACCTATGTTGACAAGGCCTATAAAACAGAACCTGGTACCCAGGAAGGCCTCCTTTTTCTCTTTTACGCCATTAGGAATAAGTAGTTGTTTTTGTGTTGTTGTTTTTTTAAATGTGTATTTGTTTTTGTTGTTTTTTTGAGACAGGGTTTCTTTGTGTAAGCTTGGCTGTCCTGAACTCACTTTGTAGACCAGGCTGGCCTCAAACTCACAACAATCTGCCTGCCTCTGCCTCCCTGAGTGCTGGGATTACAGGTGTGGGCCACTATGCTTGGCTTGGAATAAGTGCTTTCGAACAGGGACATAATATTTGAACTGTGCCCTGGAGATGCACTGGACACTTTTGTTGTTGTTTTGTCTAGACATCTTGTGTTCTTCTCACCCAAAAGTGGGAGACTGAAATGTAGCTACCTAAGACAAATCCCTATTTATATATAACCTAACACTGAAATGCTTGAAGGTAAAGGAAAGTGATATCTATGCTCTCAGCTATTTCAAAGAACTGTGGATGTAGAGAAAAAGGGAGAGAGACCAAATAATACAACAGATGTGGGAAAACATCAATATGGCTTGAAATCTCCTTGTCCCAGAGGAAGTGTTTGGACATCAGAAGTCTTGGGTTTGAATTATTTGCAAATAGGTAGTAGCAGCTTGGAAACAGAACCTTAATATAAATAGTTTATTTTCATTTCATGGATCCATTGTACACATGGTCTGAGGAGAATTTTGTTTTCAAGCACATTTTGGGTTTTTGTTTGTTTGTTTGTTTGTTTTGTTTTGATTTTTCAAGACAGGGTTTCTCTGTGTAGCCTTGGCTGTCCTGGCATCTGTGTTTTAACAATGACCTGTCTCACGAAATTGAGTGCAGAATTTTCTATTTGTGATGATCTATTACTGCTAAAAACAGTTTAAAGTTTTATAACATCTTGGATTTGCATCCTAAGGATATTTAGCCCATAATTGGAAAATCTAAGCGGAAGATTATAATATTTTTGTACCTTTTATAGAACCCAGTAATTTATTTTTATAATCTTTTTAAAAGTCAAAATATTTCTAAATATGAAACTTTTTTAAAAAGCGAGTCTGCGGGGAGGGGATGGAGTAGTTAAGAGCTTGGTGATTAACAGCACTTGTTCTTTCAGAGGATCTGGCTTCAACTTACAACCACCTACAGCTCCAGCTCAAGGAGAGGTGATGACCTCTTTGGACCTCCGTGGAAACCAGGCATGCACGAGGTGCCTACACGTGAGCAAAAAACTCATGCTTGTTAAGAAAAAAAATCTTAAAAACAAAATGAGTCGACAGAGAAACAAACTCATTCTCGTGTCTGAGCCGTAAGAAAACCAGTACAGGGCAGCCTGCACACAAAAAGTCTCATGACTTTCAATCCCAGTTCATTTGCTGACACATGAACAGAGGCACATGAACAGGGGCAGAGGCGGCCCTGTAGTTCTGTCTGAGGATCACACCGGTAACAGCAACAGAGTGGGAGATTAACAGCCAGCATTTACCTGCCCTCTGCTACGAGATTTCTCCTGAATCGTCTGAGCCGCACAATAGCTATTATTAGACAGAAATTCGCCGAAGATAAACGTAAAGTTTAGAGAGGTTAAGTAAGCTGCACAGAGTTAGCAATTCAGAGACGGAGCAGCTAGGCAAAGTAATTACTAGTTCCTGCCCGTAACAATTGCAACCATGCCCTCGGCAAACCCGGGCCTTCCCTTTAGAATTATTTTTATCTCAGTCCTTTTACACAGATATGTTGGGCATGGAGCACTTTTATTACTCCATAGTACACACGCAGTGAGAGCCGGTACATATGCTGGTGTGTTAAGGAATCTCGGTATCTGCATCGGCCATCTCAAACCCATGCACTATGAGGAATGGGTTGGACTGTCATAGGCTGTGTGGTGGTTTGAGTGAGAATGGCCCCCACAGCAGACAGGAACAACAGTGGCAACTGGGCCAGAGACCGTTCTTGTGATACTCTGGCAAAGGATGTGGCCGATTTTGCCCATGTCCTAAGAATCTACCTGAGGCTTAACTGAAAAGTCTGAAACTAATTTCAGTGGCAGAGAATATCTGAAGACAGCCTCCTATTCAGTCCGTTGTGTAGTTAGGAGTAAGGACTCTTGTGCAACTCTGCAATGAAAAGTGGCAAGCAGGACAAAAAAGACACCCAAGATGCACAGTTTGAGAAGAAAAAGAGCACCAGAATATTCCATGCTGGAGCCTAGGATTGTGCTGAAAGAGATGGAGATGCTTCGTGCCAAATGGAGCAAAGGGAGAGAGGTGCTCTCAGGGCAAGCCTCCACCCAGGAATCTCAAATGTCTGGAAAAGGGCCCAGAGATTTTTCTGGCCCTAAAAAAGAAACAGATCAAAGGTTATGTATGTAAAATTCAAGGAAGGAGTCAGGCTCCATCCAGGGAGGACCGCTGAATTTGGCAGCACCGGCCAGCTGGTCCAGTTTAGAGTAGGATCCAGGATCCAGGAGTAAAAAGTTTGTAGAATACAACTCCAGGGCAGTGGTTCTCCATCTGTGGGTCATGACCCCTTCAGTGGGGGTGGGGTCATATGTCAGATATCACACATATCAGATATCTGCATAAGAATTCATAACAGTGTCAAAAGTACAGATTACGAAGCAGCAACGAAACAATTTTATGGTTGGGGGTTACAACATAAGATGCTGTATTAAAGGGTCGAAGCACTAGAAAGGTTGAAAACCATGGGTTAAAGAGAGCTGCTAAGGTCAAGAGTATGGCAGGGGAGAATCCTTGCATGGAGGCCCTAAAAGGTTACTGCATGAAGCTTTGAAAATGAAGCCTGGACTGTGTCAGAGGCCCCAGGATGTTGGAGGGGCCGGAGACATGGGATGTCTGCCAGAGACAGCTGCATCCAGGGGATGGAACCAGCCCAGGAGAGAGAAGTGTGTTGTAGTCAACAGAATTGGAAGGGCAGAGCCATCTGAGCTCTTCGACATCAGACAAGGAATTATAGAATCTGATTTTTCTTTGGCCCACTTCCTTCACTACGATCCTATCCCCACCTTCTGGAATGGTAACGCAAATTCTGTTCCACTGTAGGTTGGGATTATGTAATTTGCCTTTTAATTTTAAAGGGTTTACAATGAAGAGATTGTCTTGAGTCTCAGAAGAGACGTTGAAACTGTAAAAGACTATGGGACTTTTAAAATTGGACCAAATGCACTCTGCGTTATGCTATGACCACAATCCTATGGGCCCAAGGAATAAAACATAGTGGCTTGAACGAGAAGGGCTCCAGTAGGCTCCTAGATTTGAACGCTTGGTCCCAAGGTGGTGGAACCATCTGGCAAGCATTAGGAAGCATGGCTCTTGTTGGCACATACATGTCAGTGGAAGCAGGCTTTGAGGTTTCAAAAGCCCATGCCATTCCCAGCTGGCAGTCTCTCTTTCTTTATCTCTCTCTCTTGCCATTTCTTTCTGTCTCCTGCTTGTGGGTTAAGATGTGAGCTCTCAGGTACTGCTCTAGCACTACACCTGCCTGTCTACTGCCATGGCCCCTGCCATGATAGTCATAAACTCCGCCATGATAGACATAAACTCCAAACTGCTGAAGATCCAAATTAAACAATTTCTTTTATAGACCCTAGTCACAGTAATAGAAAAGTAACTAAAACAGGCTGTAATTCCTAACTACTAATTCCTAGGAATTAGGAATTCCTAATGCCTAGCTCAAACCTAGGATAAGCGTTCTCTAGGATCATTCCTAGTTTTATGTAAAAACAAACAAATAAACAAACAAACAAACAAACAAACCTGTTTTCTCTATGGCCACCCAAATTTCGTTCCAAACAACTCAATCTAACTTACCCATATTCTGACCCCAAATATTCCCACCAGCTTCTCATTATAATATCCTTTTGTGTCAGTATATGTACCTATGTACACACCCACGTGGAGGCCAGATGTCAGCATCTGGAGTCTTTCTCCACCTTATTTTTTTTTGAGTCAGAATGTCCAACTGAATCTGGGGCTTTATGAACTCAGCCAGGCTGGCTAGCCAGCAATGCTCAGAGATGGTCAGTGTCCACCCTGCAACACTGAGATCACAGATACCGGCTGCCATGCCTGGCTTTCCACACAGGCGCCAAGGATGTTGAACTCAGGTCTTTATGGTCGCATGGCCATTTATCTCCCCAACGCCCTACATAGTCTTTTAACCTTCCCAGACACTCTCAATTCATTTCATTATGTCCCACAGGTCCTTCATTTGACCAGGCTTCTCTCTCAGCTCTGAGGTCTGATCAAATGGGTCTCCCTCCCATTTCTGACCCAGAACAGGCTTTCCTATGCAACTCAGGGGCCACTGCCTGATCCACTGAGTCTATCTGGGCGAGAATCCAACAGAAACAGCGAGCTCTCATCTTTCAGGGAAGGTGAGGGACAACGGATCACTAGAACTAGGGAATTAAAATGAGGAAGTGGTCCAAAATGTGTTATGAGCAAATCCTGCTACTGTCCTCCCCAAGGGCAATGGCAAGCTCTGTCCTTACCTCTGGAGAGGTCTCCAGCTGCAACTGACCACTGTAGGAAGGCAGAAATAAAAAAAAGAGTCAAAGTGGATTTTCAAACATAAACCCATCATTGTAAGAAGGAAAAAAAAATACACTAAATTAGGAAAGGTGGACGTACTTGAGAGCAGGATCAGGTAATTCTAAGGTTTCTGCTGAGCCCATGGGGTACAGGTTCAAAATGCTTCTCTCTGTAATCTCAGTGCTTAGACTATAGAAGAGGAAAAACAGGAGTAAAATCATTGAATTTCCAATAAATTCTACCATCCCCATACAGTATAAACACTTCAATGACCATCAAAGCTTGTCTTCAGGATTAACAGAATTTTTTTCCTAATGCATGTAGCTTTCCCAACATAGTTTCCGATAAGTTATTTATACTGAACTCCAACTTATATGCCAAATACTATGGTCATTTCCAATGAAGTCATCTGCACTGAATTCCAACTTATGTACCAAATACTTTAGTCACTTCCAACGAAGTCATGATTTTCAAGGGTCACATATAACTTAATTTATCTAGAACACCACATACTTGCAGATGCAAGCCTAGCTGCCACAGTATTAACAGCAGGGCACTGATGGCATTTAGTTCTGATTACAAGGTCTCTTTGATTTAGACTGCTGTATATAAAAATTAAAAATTCATCAGCTCACAAGAATATTACCAAAAAAAATCAAACCTGTCAAATTTATTGTAATTATCTTAAAATAAAGAAAAAACACATGAAGTAGGCAACACAGTGAAAAAGAAAGTGTCCAACGTGAAAGAATTTCAACACAGCCACTGACGAAGATGCCAGTCTAGCATCTGGCATCTTTGAAGTCTTCTAAGTATCTGGCACATAGAAGTCTGTTGGAATGCTCTTTTACAATACATGTTCCTGACAGTATCTAGTTCAAATATGAAATGGAACCTACAACCCGAATCTTTAGAAATATATTGACTGATTATCATATATCTGGCACTACCAAAAATGAACAGAAGTTCTAAGTTTCCATTTTTTAGTAGAATTTTCCTCCTGTGTTTATAAATCAGTAGAAACCTTCTGTGACCTTTTGTGGCATCTGTCATATCTGTTTTCTGTAAATGACAGCAAGCATCCCATATGAATGTCACCAGAGCTAAGGAAGCATTGTTAAAGACTGAGAATACAGAAAGTGATCTAACTGCTACGACAATCTGACACTTTTAGTTTTGGATCTTGGGGAAAAGGCAATGAAAGGACTTCACTTTGTTAGAAGGTACGAGACCAAATTGGGTATACACATTTTAGAAAGTGGTGTAATGTCCTCAGTAAGTAAGTAGGCTTCATTTACACACAAGACCTGGGCCAAGAACAGACATGCATACCCGTTGGGATCCTGAAGAAAGTCTTCTGCCTCCCTCAGCTCCTCAATCATCGCTATATCCAAATCCCGGTCTTTGGATGAACTTAGACTGTAACATAAAACCAAGTGTGAGCGCTACATGCTTACAACATCTTCAGAGCATCCTCGCAATATCCCATCAACCTCCTACAAAGGATTTTGACAAATTCAGCACTGTAATGAACACATTTCAGTACCCTGCAGATGGGTCCTACACAGACGGGAGGAATCTCTGGGCAGGGAAATCCCAGTTCATCTCCATCCTCTCAGGATCTCATGGCCAGTCAGTCAATGGACAAAGCCAGTGGGCCTTCACACTTTCCTGAGTTCTGTAAGATCAGCCTGGCTCCCCTGAGTGGAGTTGTATCAGTTCCAAGGCTTCCAACTCTGGTTCCACCAGCATGGCTGAGTTGTATTACTGTTATAACATGAGGCCTCAGTGTGGAAGAGTGGCTGTTGGCCTGAAAACCAACTGTGGAGCTTATAACACACACCAGGCCCAAACGCCTAAGCAATTCCAGCCTCAAGTAAAGAGAGTAGTTCTAGAAAGGTTTACAGGGTCCTGACTTTATAGTCAAGGTTGAGAACACATGTGAAGTTGAAAATGGGATTTCCTCCTTGGCCTTTCAGAAGAATATCCAACAAGCAGCTATTAAGACAGAATGATAGAGAGGGACTTCTCAGCAAAAAAAAAAAAAAAAAACTGGATCACAGTTGGCTATTCTTGCCACACAATATAGCCCAATGAATCCCCATTAGTAGAGAACATTTTTAACAATCTGACCAGTTCTTTTTAAGGAAAAAAAAAATAATCCTAACCATCTATACAGGAAGGTTACCGAGACCTACATATATCCCAAACCATAGAAAGCAAAAGCCTATGAACTAAATATCTATCCTATGCTACAGGTTCCAGGTCAACTTTATATAAGACATTGATTTTCTGGTAAGACATTCATTTGCAGCCCTGAAGATCTGGCCAAATAAATTTTTATACATAGTAGACAACAACAACAACAAAAAAGATATTCCGTTGGTACAAGATTCCTCAGGGTCAAATGTTAGCCTTTTGTGGCCCTGGAGACAGAAGCACGACCAATCTGTGCTCCAATTTCATCATCTGCAAGATGGCAGACAAGAGAGCTTATCGGACTGCCAAAAAGATTAACTGAGCTTTGGTCTATAAAACAAAACAGTGCCAGGAACACAAAATTTAATATGTGACAGTTGTGACAGTTATTCAACTGGCAACCAGGACACTGAAGAAACGCTTTTCAAAGAATTGAATCCAAAGACCCTAGCTGATGGGACTGGCTCTCCAGACATTAGGTCTGGCTACAGGCTTCTTCAAACAAAATGGAAGGACGGTAGAAGATGTTCTCACTAATACATTTTTATTGACAACCTCAAGTAAAACTCAAGGCCAGGGAAGAAGCACAGCTTTCCACTGGGCTGGGCTGTGAATGTACCTTCCAAACCTTATGTGTAGAAAACTCACTGCCAAAGGCAGCAGTGTTAGGCATGGGACCTTCAAGAGGGAATCAAGGACCATCGAGGGGAACAATGGGTGCCATTGTTACAGGAGTATGACAGGAGAAGATTCTAGGATTGCCCAAAGAAACATGGATCAGAATCTATCAGGACCTGACTGCCAGTGTGCCTGAAGAGGAGGGACGGCCCATGACCCAGCCCTGGCACTCACAGTCCCCCCATCGGCCAGTGTGCGTCCTCTTCTATCCGCAATAGCTCTTCACAGTCTTCTGCCTGGTCCTATGGACAGAACACATGGGCCTTTCAATGCAGAGTTAAGACCGGCTCCCAGTCCATATCCAGGGCAGGATAATTCCCAAAAGGCAAAAGCAAGCCAGGAGTCCACTGACATGCTACAGATACATAATGGAAGGCTCTTGACAAGGAGGAGATTCTTACATACAGGAGTATGAAACAACACACACACACATACCCATGCACACACATACTCACACACGCACTCTGCATGATGCTACACATAGGAGCTACTTACAGTAGTCAAATTCATTGAGATGCAAAGCAGAGCAAAGCAGAGCCAGAGAGAGCACAGTGGGACAGATCTGATTGGTATACAGGGTTTTGGATAAAAAGGGTTTGGGAGGTAACAGAAGAGTGTATACTTAACACAAACTGCAGTGTGCAACCGAAATGTGCCTAAGAGAATCCACGGTGGTGGGGTACAGGCAGTATACATTTGCACATCAGCATTTGCAAGGTCAACTATGGCAGAGGGGCCATAAGTTCAAAGTCAGCCTGCACTACCTACCAAGACCTTGTCTCCAAAAATTATACAGGTAAAAGATTTTATGTTTTATATGTATTTGACCACAACTAAAACTTAGAAAATTAAAGACAGAAAATCATAATAATTAAAAAAAAAAAAAAAGCAGACTGGCCACAACTTACATTAGATATAAGCAAAAATAAAATTTTGCTGATTTCCTTATTTAACTCAACTTACTGGTATTTGACAATAGAAAAATGCCCTACACTGAATCCAGTAGTTTCATGTGAACAAAGTCAGAGGTCACTTAAATGTTTCCCCTGAGCCTCCTGCACCGAGGTTCTTCAGAAGCGCTGCAGTGCGCGCAAGTGACTGCTTGGAAAGCTGTGTCTACTGTGGGCCTTCACGCTGTTTCCCTGGACTTTCTCCTCAGATGAGGAGAATGTCCTGGCTGCGCCAATACTGGAAGGAAGCCGCCCTGGCGTGGGTGCATTTCCCTATTAGGGAAAGAACATCAGGCCGGGAGGCACATCTTCATTGGTTCTGCTGAGTCTTTAGGATCAGACTTTCCCTGAGGAGGGCGTTTCAAAACAAACAAACACTCAGACCTTTACTGGAGCGGCTGTGCTGTCATCATACAGCAGTCCATACACACACCGACTACGCGTCACCCTACAAGTGACAGCGCAATCCATGGAGACAGACTTCCGGGTGACAAGTCCAGAGCACCGTGTCGCCGTTCTTCTAGGTTTCAGCTAGCAAAGGTATAGGTGTTTTCAGTTTCAAAGTGAAAGGTCACTAAAATATGTAGATCTTCTTCAGAACACAGAATAGGCCGACATTAGCTTGCTGAGCTTTCCCTTTTCCTTCTTTCCTTCTTTCCTTCTTTCCTTTCTTCCTTCCTTCCTTCCTTCCTTCCTTCCTTCCTTCCTTCCTTCCTTCCTTCCTTCCTTCTTTTTTTTCCAAATTAGGCAGCATTTGAGAACTGGACGGCTCACAAAAATTCAACTGTGGTCTTCAAAGCAGTGCTGGATACTTGTGAGTAACACACACACACCAAAGAGAGACACACACACGGAGTGATTGGCTGGCACATACAGGGCCCCGGGTGAGGAAGGATGAGGAGCATTCTGCCTTCTGCCTCCAATTTTCATGGTGTAAACTGCACAAGCGTTGCTGTTGCTCCACTTCGTGCACATTTTCATATTTTTGTGCCTTTTTTTATTTGGTGGTTCAAAATGGGCCCCAAATATGATGTTGAGATGTCCTCCTAAGACAACCACAAAGTACCTCATAAAGAAATGACACGTTAGGTAATTTTTACTCAGGTGTGTGTGTTAAGAGTTAGGGAATCCCATCTGAATGGACAGTGACATGCAGTCATTCGTGAGGTTATGCTGCTTGTGGTGGTGTAGCCATCTGAGGCTGGTGAGTGCACAGTGACGAAATTCTGCAACAGCAAGTGTATTTCTCAGAACCTATCTCCATCAGGAAAGCACACCTAACTTGACCGTGAGCCTGCGTCTCTAAGAAGAAACACACGCAAAACAAAGCTCTGCAGTGACTGACAAACATGTGACCAAAGGCTCCTAGAAATCCGACTCTGTATTTTCTCAAACCAGACCGGCTCGGCACTGCATAGTGCAATATGCACAGTGGATTCGTACATTATAACCAGTATGAGTAACAACAACAACAAAAAAATTTGACCATTGTAACAAAAGCACTGGAGGCCACCTCAGTAAGTTAAGTGGGGATTACATAATACACAGAGTTTTCAATGGCCAATGTGTTGGCACAGTCACAGGTCACAAAACAGAAAGCAAGCCTAACATATGCTTGCTCCCTGAGTATCCGTTCTCAGGAAACAGCCATTTCCAGGGTGTTTGGCATCCTGGAACTCTCTGAACCCAGGGGACTGCATGTGCTGCTAATTACTTGATTTCCTCCAGAATCTTCCAAACCCATTTTTCACGTGTTCCATCTTCAGTCTCGTGAAGTGAAGTCAAAATCTTTTTTTTTTCTTTTAAGATTTCCTTATTTCTTATGTATACAGTGCTCTGACTACATGTACACCTGCATGCCAGAAGAGGGCGCCAGATTTCACTATAGATGATTGTGAGCCACCATGTGGTTGCTGGGAGTTGAACTCAGGACCTCTGGAAGAGGAGCCGGTGCTCTAAACCACTGAGCCATCTCTCCAGTCCCATTTTTCCATGTTCTCATGACTGAACTGTCCCACAGAGCTGACGGACAGGGGTCAAGTGTTGGGGAAGCTTGTGGGAATGACCTGAGAGTAATGTAATCAGATTTGTAAACTAAGAAAATAGTGGGTGGCAGAATATAATGTGTGCTTGTATGTTACCTGCACACACACACGTATGGGAGGCCAGGATTGCTGAGGAGCTGGAGTGGGCACTTGCAGCTCTCAGTGAGACATGATGAGCTCAGCTGAAGCCATGTTGGTGGAGATCAGAGGATGGAAGTCAAAAATGAAGGTGAAAAGCTGGGATGCTGTAAGGATTGAGTGTTTTGTGTTTTACCTCTCCGTGTATTTCTGTAATAGTTTTAGACTGTCACACAGCACAAACTAAGTCCTGTTTCATTATGGAACTCTCAAATTTGTTACTTCAGTCTCAAGGGCATGGAGAAGGCTACAGCACGCTAGAGTCTCGGGTGGCATAGATGAAATTCAGCTTGTTTTCCCCCCACCCCGGTGACCTGGGAAGGTTGGTTAGGCTGGGTCAAGCTGGGTCAAAGAATAAAACAAACTGTCAGAAAACACGGATGAGAGGCTGGCACAATGGCGCAGTAGGTCAAGGTGCCTTCTACCAAGCCTGATGATCTGAGTTTGATCTCTAGAATTGACATGGTTGAAGGGGAGGACTCCTGCCAGCTGCCCTCTGATATCCGTACAGCAGCCATCTTGCCAGCCCACGGAACTGACACTTTCTGAGCCACATAAACTTTTGAGCTTCCACTTTGGATTTCAGGGTTTTGGATTAGGGATCCTCATTCCGTAACGTGTACATGAACACTTCAACATCTGAAGAGGCCAGCAAGTCAGGACATTTCTAGTTCTAAGGATGATGGATAAAGAACGCCCAGCCTTGGGCTCTCAAGTTAAGCATTCACATAAAACATGATGAGAAAAAAAAAAAAAAAAAGAATTCTGAGCTCTTACAAGTGATCATAGTCATGCTGGTAAATCTGCTAACTTGTGAGGCTCAGTGAGAAAGAGGAGGCTTAGCGATTTCTGAATCAGGAAAAAGAAATCACTTATAAATAGACAGTCTAGAGACAGGCACAGTTGAGCCAGTTCCCAATGTCAGGAGTTGGGAGGGGGGAGGGAACAGCCTTGAGCTTTGAGAAGACACACTGAAGGCTTGGGAAGCAAACAGTAAGCTGGACTGGAAAGTTAGACTGAAATCTTTGAATCTGAATTCCAGGATGCCAAGCAGAAAACAGTGAGTTGAGCCACAAAACCTTGCCTTAATACAGTTCATGAATCCTGAGTGGAGAGTGTCTGCCCCATCAGTGAACTGGTTTCTTTCTTGTCCTGAGTTGTTGCTGTCCCCCAAAAGGGAAGGCTTTGGCTGAAATTCTCCTGTCAGGAAAAGGCAGAGAAAGGAAGAAAGTGTGACTTCAAGGACAGAAACAGGGAGCACACACAGGTCCTCAAACCTACAACCAAATTCTTCCTTCATCTCCCGGCACTTTATCTTCTCTGAAGAATGTAAGAGGGAAATTAAACGTGGGAGAAGAGTAAGAAACAGAAAATAAACAGAAGACCCCAGACTGAATTTTAATGGTCAAGGCTTCCTTATGGCTTAGCTCCCCATGAAAGGAATAAAATGTCCCCTCATGTTCCTGAAGAATCGAAACAATTATGAAAGAGCTTTTGTGCCCCCAGCGATACATGGCTAATCATTACAAATCCTAAATTCAACAGACTGTAACAACATGACCAGCTGTTCCGTGGAAACTATTATGCTATTTACAGACATACCTGCAAGTACATTTTAGGGATTAAATGACTTCTGTCCTCGAACAACCAACAGTCTTAAGAAAATGTGGGACATGACTAGACAAGGGGCCCGAATCCGACAATAGAAATTACTCCAAGAAAGGCCCTGCAGGAGCAAGAGCATGCTAGGGAAGAAATCATCTGTCCTGGCAGGCAGAGGGCAAAGGGTCAGTACAGAGGATGCTTCTGACTGAAGGCAAGAAAGCAAGCTGTCCTTTAAACAGTGAGTTCACAAGATACCCATGCTGGACGGTAGGGGATGTATTAGGAACAGCTTATTTATTTTGTTTGAAAAAAAAATTCTCTGGGGTATAGTATATGAGACAAGAATAAATTTAAAAAAATTAAAAATTTAATAAAGAAAAAATTGTCTCAAACATGACCCCCAACACTGCACACTGTTACAAGGTTTACGTGAATGAATACAGTGGTAGTTACATTCTCTGCAAGTATTCAGTTGTATTTTGGCATCATGTATGGTTTCCATCACAGTCTCTATTTTAACGCTACCCTCAAGCTCTAAAATTTAAAAATCTAAATCTGAGAGTCATGTGTGCTGATGGCTCCTTCAATCCCAGTACTAGTGAGGCTAAGGCAGGAGGAGAGACATTAGTTCCAAGACAGCCTGGGCTACATGGACAGACCTTGTTTCAAACAAACAAAATGAAACACAAGTGTCCTGAATCTAAGAAGTGAAAGAAAACATGAAAATAAATGTTTAATAGCTTCAAAATAGCCCTCTAATCACTACATAAAACATCGTGGGACCTGGAGACACAGCTCATCAGTTATGAGCACTTGCTACTCTTACAGAGGACCCGGACTCTATTCGCAGCACTCACACGGAGGCCCATATCCATCTCTAACTCCAGTCCCAGGAAACCCAATGCCCTCTTCTGACCTCTGCTGGTACCAAGAACACATGGTATGCTTACATACATGCAAAAAAAAAAAAAAACAAAAAACAAAAACAAAAAAAAAAACCATGTACATACATAAAATAAAATGAATAAATCTAAGGAATGATTTTTTTTAACTATATTCATATTGGGATTTGGTCTATAACTGACACTGTTCTACATTACTCATAAAACATTCTCCACTCTCTATCACAAATCATTAGTGGTACAAATCATGAATGGTACAGTGCTCAGTAGCTTGAAGATTCACTTGATGATTATTAACATGCCAAAGAACCTGAGATCTTTACAGGGGATGGATGAGGCCGACTGACTTGGCTACAGTCAAACAGATTCCCGAGCCCATAACTCAAGTGCATTTCCCGCCCTCAAGTATATCAGATGTGAGCATGGGATGACGTCTGTCTTATGAAATGATGGACACGAACAGGCCCAGCCCACCACGTCCCCATCCCCAAGAACACCCGTGTTCCTCTCTAGCTTAACCCACATGGACATGGAGACACTGGCAGTCCATGCTAAAGGTGGTGAGTGGAGCATCAGTCTTCTAGCCAACACTTGCAGGACAGTTGACTGCCAACCACCAACTTCTCACCGAGTCTTGGAGATTTATGACAGCAACTAGAGTTGTCCTAAGTCTTATCCATCATATCAATATTTCCTTTTCAAAACAATGAATTTAAAGAGCTGCCCATAATGTTCAGGATGAGGACTCTCTTATTATCCGATAGGAGCAGAGCTGGCTTGTGAAACCACAGATAAGTCATTTAAACCCTTTGAGCTTTGTTCCCCAACCTCTAGTATAGTCAGAAGAGGTTTTTTGAGTTTGGGACTCCCGTGGGCCTGACAGCTGGCTGACAGGATATATGGTGTAAAGAGTAATGGACCATCTCCACATCTGTACATGGTCCCGTAAACGAAGCGAGCAACCTCTCCACCCGTCCCTCTCAGACCTTTAGCAGGGGCGAGATGATGGCATGCGTCCTCCTTGATGGTCTGGTCTTCCTCCATGATGTTCGACATGGGCGCATTGAGGCTAACTGTGTCCTCATCAGAGGGCTAAAAAAAGATACAGGGAATCAAGTCATTTCAGGGGAGAGAGAGGTCTTGTCGATGCAGACAAAGCAGCAGGCTGGCTTTACAAGCAGCATACTGAATAAAAGACAGCAGAGATAAACCCTCTCTTGGCAAACTCAAAAGCAGCAACCTGATGGTGACATCTAAGTCAGGAGAGTGGCTGCCAGGATCGGGAGGGGGAGGAGGGGGGCTTGCGAGTGAGACTTTCGGGACAGCTTTGTGAATGAAAGCTGGCCGTGAGGGCAGATTACAGTACTAGTCCGGCAATGTACACACACCTCTAACACACGCTTTGAGCTGCAGTCTCTAACGGTTTCTCCCTTTCTGAGCTTACAGCCAGAGTCAAGGCACTAAAGGATCATGTAATACCCAACACGACAAGGCAATGTTTGCAGACAAACCAACACATTAGCCCTAAGTCACACTCTCAGCACAAAAGGCACCCTGTTGTCTGACAAAAGGCTGATTTACCAAAACTACACGGAGGTTTCATGTGGCTCGCCGAACAAAGCAGGCAGTCACCCAAGGGTCCATTTCACTTAAAATATTAAGGCTCAGTGTCCAGTCTTGATTTGCATTGAGGAAGCAGCACTGGGCAGGTGATAGTATTGTCAGGTATAAGGTATCAGGTAAAAGGACTGGCGTTCTGTGTGACTTTCAGAACAGAGGTTCTCTGAAGCAAAGGGAGACAATTCTCTCTGATGTCACCTCCACCACACTAACTGACAACGTATATGCAGAAAATCTATGAGTCTACCACGAATTAAGATATAGAAGATCCTCATTTATTTTCCCATCTCCATTTTGGTGTTTGCTATTTAGTGACAAGTGGCTGTGGCTCTTTTCACTCTTGGACACATGCACAGACTATTTAGAAACACAAGAAAGCAAGCATGAATTTCACTCACTGAGCAAATATCCACAGATACTCACAAGTTCTTGCTTAATTATCTTGACAAAAATATGTGTTTACTATTAAAACACTAATAAAAAAAAAAAAGTGGGGAGTGATCTTGGCCAAAAAATTTACAAATAACAGATCATGTACTATAAATCAAAACCCTACCACTAAAAAAAACAAAAAACAAGTATCACAGAGATGTACTCAGACAATAAGCCTCGTTTGTGAGATGAGAAAAGCAAAGGAAGGACTCTTTTTGTTCTACTGAATTATAATCCTTTCTACAGTCCCTGTTCCCTCCACCCACCTCCTACCCTTACAGTTAGCAAAAGTCCAAAGACATGCATTTAATTAAATGGAGGGGGAATAAATCCTTGGGCTCTCTTCAGAATACTATTAGCATCCTACTTATGAGTGAGGGAAAGATAATGAAGTTCTTTGTGTGATGTTTTATTAATGAACTTAATTACTCTTAGAAGAGAGATAAAGGACAGCTTGTTTTAATTTAATGGAAAAGAAGCCCAGGGTGGGTAGTTTCCGCAACAATGCTCCATTTGAGGGGACTTATGAGTTTTCATGAAGTCCAGGGGGTTAAATAGCATGCAACACAGAAAGCAGTGTGTTCAGCATTCCCACCCGACCTGGGAACCACAGCCAACTGTCAGTGTGGCTTCAAGTGGGCCGCTTCCTTACGCTGACACTGGACGCCTTTCTCTTCTACTAGCTCTTCTTCAAGATGTTACTTTAAAAAAGATTCTTCATAGGAAAAAAAAAATGCTGGGGAATTTTACTCTGTTTTCAATGCACGTGTGTTTGTGTGTGTGCGTGTGTGCTCATACACATGTGCAGTTCTGTGTGCGTGTGGAGGCTGGAGGTCAATGCTGGGCATCTCTCTCACTCGATTTCCACACTCCTTTTGAGACAGGGTCCCCTCACTGAGCCTGGATCCTACTGACTTAGCTGAACTGGTTGGCCCCCAGCTCTAGGGATCTCTCGTCTTGGTCTTCCACTCAGGGTGATTACAGGCTCCCACCTCTGGGCATGGCTCTTACAGGGGCTCTGGGATGAACTCCAGTCTTCATGCTTACCTGGCGAGCAGTTTACAAGACTAACCTGTCTCCCCAGCCACTGGTTTTAGGTTGTTTTGCCTTTAAGTATACTACTTCACAGCACATTTTGTAGAAAATAAACTTTTCTGCTCACTAAAGATCAGATGATGACTTCTTCCTGAAGTCACATTCAATAAATAACAATAAAACAATAAATAACAATAAAAATGTTATTTCTTTAGATGAAGTAACTGACCTAATCATTGCATCCTCAAGGACCCCCCGTGGGATCTAATGGACTGTACATGAAGCAATAAATGAATAAATGAATGGTATGCTCCATCATTAGACTGCCTCAGCTGAGCTCACAAATGAATTTATTTTCCTGATCACAAGACAGCCGAAGTGCCAGAAATACAAATACTGTCTTTTAAACTGTAGGTAAGGGCCAGCGAGAAGGCTCAGCAGGTTAAGGTATTTGGTGCCAAGCCTGATGACCTGCCTGGGTTCAATCCCTGGAACTCACACGGTGGAAAGGAACTGACTCACACACATTGCCTTCTGACTTCCATGTGTGTGTTGTGACACTTTCAGAATGCACAGATTAACTTAAATATTTTAAAAATACAATAGCCAGTTACACACTTTTCAGTGACTAAGCTACTCAAACATAGTGCACATTTGATTCCTCAACACTTAGAAATATGTAGAACCACACTTCCCTAAGTTACCCTTAAAGTCAGGTGCTTCATACTAGGACATGGTCCTTTCAAAATATTTCTTTAGTATTGAAGAATATTCTACACAATGTGAGAGTGAGATAGGAAAAGGACAGTATCTGTTAGTTACTTCCAAAGTAATAAGGTCCACAGAGTGACAGCAGCTAATATTCACACAGCCCTTAGGGGTTCCAAGCTGCTTTCACGAAATGTGATTGAACTGTCCACTCAAATCATTCAAATGCACCAGCGGCTTCTGCTAGAAAAAGTCTTAGTGGACACAGACAGACGGACCCAGAACGCAGGACAATAAATACATGGTCACCAGATTTACCTCCGTGGCAGATAACCGCTTATCGCCATTGTCACTTCCAACTCCTGAATCAGAGTCCTTCTTACTGGGGTAGACGTCATCGTCGTTCAATTTGTTTGGGAAGGAATTAAGAAAAAAAAAATCACAAAGTTGACACCAGTTAATAATGTGATTATGACTTCATTCCATAAAACTTACCATTATTATTGTAATTATTATTACATGGCAACTAGTTGGTCTAGCAGTAAGAACTATTAATACATGGGCACAATGAAAACCACACACTTATAATGAAAACTTATACATGCTGTGAATTCTCTGCATTCAGGGTTTGTCCCTCCTCTTAGGGACAACTTATTTCTTTGAAACAGTTACCAATTTTATTTCATTGGAGTATATACTAAAAACAGTAAGATATACACTTGTTTTATCTTGTAGGCATCAAAACATTTTCAATCATTTTGAAAAACCTTTCTGGTGGTGAATTATACCTTGTAACTTAAAACAGCCAATATATATTTAAAGCCTTATTATGAAAATGCCATTAGGATAATATGAAATTTCAAGTCAGCCTTGTTTGGCAAAAGAAAAGACCTCTGCCTGAAGAACTCTTAAGAATTGGTGTCTCTTTAAGTGGGTCACCGTGGCCACTATGTTCTTCGGGTGCTCAAGGCCCCGTCTTACACCACAAATGACCCACAGATGCCTGAAAAGGATTCTGACACTTTCACATGAAACTGGAAATGGGGAAGAAGAAAAAAGTATCCACGCTGCCTTTTAAAAACTGAAGCCTGAAGCTAGTTACTAAGATACAACCAACAGCATGCAAGTACACAGAAAACTGATGACTCGTACCACGCTTCGGCTTGACACGGTCATGAAGATCAAGAACGGCAGGCTTGAGACAGCACGTTGCTGTATATACAGCTCAAGCTGACCTCAAATCCACGATCCTCCTAACTCCATCTCCTAAGTACTGGGATTATAGGGGTAGGTCACCACGCCCAGCTTACTAACAGCAATTTAAAAATTTAAGTTTTTTTTTTTTTTACGATAATTTGATATGGCTATGGTAATTGCAAGCATAAAAAAAAATCCATTACAGATCCTATTTACAAGCATCCACAGATGTACTCAGGAAGGAGTGATTAATGAGGACAGGGTACGTTTGAGGAATTAGAGAGTCTCTCCAGCATCAATTTTTGGTGTGCCACACTACTTTCTCAAGCTCTGGGTCCTAAACGTGAATCACAAAAATGAAGCAGATGGATTGTGACGTCAAGTCACCTGGGCAACTGTAGCTAATAAGCGGGCTCTTCCTGTTCACTCACCTGTCTTCCACAGGCTGGTGTAAATGAGGCCTCTCAATGGCGTGGAGGTAAAGGGAGTCGGTTGTCTTCATCTGGCACGCCTGTATGCTCAGATACTTAAATATGTGCACCTTTCCTTTTGTGCAAATCTGGGGAGAAATCGGTAAGGCGCGCTTATTTCCAAGTGACAAAACAGGGTTTGTTCCCAATCCCAGACCATGTAATCTAATCTTCAGTCTGTCATGGTGAGTAACCCCCTAACAATGGACCCTAAATACACAAGGATTCTTAGGACCGTTTCCTCCAAATTCTACTTTGAACAGAAAAATCATGCTCAAGAAATCCCTTGAAATGACTACATTCTAACAAAAACATACTTGAGTAAAAATAGTGTAAAATTTGTTAAAAATCAGACGTAATAGTCCAACGACAAAGGGTAAAAAAGCACAACTATTTTCACGTCCACAGAGAGCAGTTGGGAGCTTGCAAGACAGCTGGGCACACGCTTTTAATCCTGGCCCTCAAGAACATATTACCCACCCGATTTGTAGGCCATGTACTCTATGAAAGCTTCAGGTGTTTGACTGACTGGGTGGTATCAGATCTGTAATTCTAGAATCGTTCAAAGACGATGGCACAGATGTGGGCACAGATGTGATGCCGCCTAGAGCAACCGACTAGTCAGGTTCACTGAAAGCTTCCCTGTGTCTGGGGGGAGGACGCTGCCTGCCTCTCATCATGCCCGGTGTGGTTCTAGGTGTGCGGAGAATCGCAGCAGGGGCCCTGTGCTGAGTCATGGGAGCCACTCTGTGCAGGCCTGGCCCCAGCTCTGGGACGGTCCTCACCTGAGCCGGAGGGGACTGCAGAGGATTGTTCTCCAGGAGGAGCACTTGCAGCTGCTTCATCTCTCTGAAGCAGATGGGGATCACCAGTACTTTGTTGCAGGAAAAGTCAAACTTTACCAAGGGGAGTTCTACTAGTTCTGAAAGAAGAGAAAATAAAGGGGGAGGAGGTTTAAAAAAAAGATTTAAGCATCCTCCCTAGGGTCCTCTTTAGTGGTTAGCTTCTGTAGGTCTGTAGATTTTAGTATGGCTACCCTATATTGAACATGGCAAACAGGACAGACACCAGAAGTGGTGGAAGAGAGGAAACGGGATGGGAGCCTACTATAGAGGGTCCTCTGAAAGGCTCCATCCAACAGAATGGAGATGCTGAGACTCAAAGCCAAACTTTGGGCAAAGTGCAGGGAGTCTTATGGAAGACGAGGAGGTGGGGATAGAAGGACATGGAGGGGACAGGAACCCCACAAGAAGAGCAATAAAGCTAAAAACTCTGAGCCCAAGGAGGTCTTGCAGAGACTGATGCACCAACCAAGGACTATGCATGGAGAGGACCTAGACCCCCTGCTCAGATGTAGCTATTTGGCAGCTCAATCTCCATGTGGATTCCCGAGTAAGAGGAACAGGGTCTGCCTCTGCCATGAACTCAGTTCTCTGCTCTTTGATCACTCGCCCTGTCTTGCCAGGCCATGGAGGAGGAAGATCCAGGAAGTCTTGATGAGACTTGACAAGTTATGGGCAGATGGCAAAGGAGAACTCCCCCTTTCAGTGGACTAGGGTGGAAGAGGGAGGGAGGGTAGAACTGTGAGGAGTTGGAGGAGAGGGCTTCAATTGGGATATACAATGAATAAATTGTGGGGAAAAAAAGGGAATGTCAGAAAATAGCAGGGTCAAGTGCTACACACTCAAAACTTAACTCTCTGTGTATCTAGAGATGCACAATTTAGCAGAATCAGAAGTAAGCTGTGCTAATGTTTGGAAAACACCGTGTGTGTATATAGTATTTCCCGTAGTGGGGGAATCTTTCCCTGGGTCATTATAAACTGTACTGGGAACGCTTGCCATTCATATTATCTAAAAAGCCTGTTTTCTTCCAGCACAGGAATCGTATGAGCCATGTCACACAGAACATGTTTTTCTAACTGTACCCTGTTTCCTGAAGTGCCTGCTGGCAATGAATGATACGCTAATTATAGAAAATCCTTATCTAGTCAATGTCCCTGAGTTGGCACAGGCCTAGAAAGAGTTTCAGTAAATACGTTCCTGATTTTGTCCGAGGCTGCCACCAACACCACCCTAGCCCCCTCCCATCCCCCGGTGTTTTCTAATTTAGGACTTTCCAAAAGGACTCATAAAATGCCCATCTGGCTGGGCTTCATTCTACTGCTTTTTGAAGTCTTCCACAGCTCAGCTCGCAGGGAAGGACGTTGCATTTAGCCTGAGGTTCCCGCCCAGTGGCACGGTAAGCACTCAGTAATTTCAAGCATTCGAACCAACACTGGCAGCTGCTGGGCACAACCTCAGATATAATCCATAGAGCAAAGTGAGGCTCAAGCCATACCAGAGCTTAGGGCGGTGCTGGCAGATCTCTGAGCTGGCTGGCTGGTGACCACAGTGGGGTCACTTCAGAACGGTGCCCAGCACTTTTGGTATGGGAGCTGTTACAGGCGAAAATAGAGTGGCTGCAGATACTTCTGGCCTTCTAAAGTGGAAGAGACCCAGAAACTAGACAGGGAGAGGACCCAAAGGAGAGGACCAAAGCCTTTAAGAAGCCCTTAAGAAGAAATTAGTTCCTCCTCCTGTTCCTGTTCTTCCTTTTCTTCCTCCTCCTCTACCTCCTCCTCCTCCGTCACCTTCATGGCTTAGGCTTTCAATCAACTCTTTAGCTCCCCTAACACACTTCTTTGGGTAAGTGCTGTGTCTTCTCGGAACTCAAGGACCTAGGAATTATAGGTGCTTTCCATCTTTCATACCTCAGAGCTTTACTTGGTCTTACGGAACAGAGTAAAGAGACCAAAACTCTAGGGGAAGGAAGAACACTCTACTCCCAGGTCTCAAAGTAAAGTCCATGGCAGACTCCATAAAACTCAGATAATGCATTTCAAAACATATGTCACGGAATCTCTTTCCACACAGGTCTGAGCAGCTCGTGTCTCCAGTGGGGGCAGCCATGAGTGTCAGGTCATACTCCTAAAGGTTGTTCTGACGAAGGCTGTGGGCACAGGGAGGAGTAACAGGGCAGCTATGCATAGTGGAGGTGGACGCATGAGAGTGAAAAAAGAGGGAAGGAGGGTCCTGTCTGTTTCTATTGCTGGGATAAATACCACGACCAGAACCAACCTGGTGAGGAAGGGGCTTATCTCAGCTTACAGCTGAGATAAACTTACATCATAAACGTAAGTCAGGACAGGAACTGATTCAGAGAGCACGGAGGAGTGCTTACTGGCTTGCTCCTCCAGGCTTGCTTAGCCTGCGTTCTTATATCACCCAGGACCACCAGGGAGGACCACCCACAGTGGGATGGAGCCCCTCCCCCCACATCAAACATTCATCAAGAAAATGCCCCCACAGACTTGCCTACAAGCTAATCAGGTGAAGGCATTTTCTCAGCTGAGGTTCTCTTCCCAGATGCCCACGCTTGTGTCAACTTGACAAAACAAAACAAAACAAAACAAAAACAAACAAACAAACCCTAACGATTAGAGTTTTCATGTTACACTTTGTAGACCAGGTAAGAAGGACTGGGATTCCCAGGGCAGGATGACTTGAGAGTTAGGCTGTCTCACCGGTGTTAAAATTTAAAGAGACTCTGTGTTCTGTGGGACAGGGCTTGTGTGATTCCTTTGCTAGAAGAAAAGGGGCTTTTTAGACAATAGCGATTACACAGCCAGTGTTCCCAGCAATTCTTTACCAACTAAAATGAAGATTCTGAATCATGATCAGAGGCCTATTCGGGGGAGTAGAGAATTCACGGGTAAACAGATAAGGGATGCTTTTACAATGGCCACTTCCTTGCCCTTTGGTTCCAACCTGTAGTGGTATAGGGGAAGGAAAGAAAGAAACAGGAGGAAAACAGAAGCAGGAGAAGGATGATATGGAGGAGAAGGAAGCGGAGGAACAAGAAGTAGAGAGGAAGAAGTAGAAGGAGGAAGCTGAGGAGGAACTCCACATTTCTCTCTCCATTCAAAGAGAGGCAAGAAGTAATACCTCAATCCCTGCCATCCTATCTGGAAAACAACACACAGAACTGACTGGAGTATTGGGCTGCAAACTTCTATTTTTTCCCCCTCCTCACACTTGAACTGAAAACACAGGAGGAGCGATTCATCAAGAAAACAAATGTAAGTAAATATGGAAGGTCATTCATAAGCAGCCTGGTGATATCAACACTCTTGTCAACAGAATTCTCTAGACTGAGGCAGAAAGAAACTTGATATTCAGAGGTTTGGTTTTGTGTTGTTTTTTTTTTGTTTTGTTTTGTTTTGTTTTGGTTTTTAATAAAAAAAAAAAAACATTCCAGGAAACTTAAGTTTTAGCTTTGGGTATGTTTTAAAATATCAAATCTGAGAAAATATAATTACAGAAGGCAGAGTTAGCTGTAACTGATCTTTTTAGGGAAAAGAATTTTTCTCAAGGTGAGAGAGAAAGTGGTCAGAGAAACACAGGCATGGGCTCACAGGTGCTCTCTCTTCCCCCGCCCCACACTGTGGCCACCCAATGATGTAATAGGTTTTTCCCTTCTGGAAACAGGTTCAATTATTTATGACATTTCCACAATGATTACCACCGCAGCTTCAATGCAAAGGGGCTTCTTAATGCCTGAAAGGTTGTATTTTGCAAATGTTCTGTGAATTAAAATCCTGTTTGTAGCTATCCCTATTATTACTTGTAGTTATTATTAGGCAACAGTTTTTATATACACTCAAAAAAAAAAGAGTCTGGGCGGTAACAAGTGGAAAAAGTAAATTTCTTTACATGAGTTCATTTCAGATGAGGCAATAACTCCTACACAGAGGTCTTTTCTAAATCTTCTTTGAATGCAAGCTAGAAAGAGCAAGGTGAAAAATGGCACCTGAGCCCTCAACCATAAAGCACAGTGCTCTACTACACGTTCTTTGGAGCTCTCTCCATGTCTTGAATGAACAGTAGTAACACGATGGAAAAAAGAAATCCATACAGCTTTCAAACTGCCACACTAATAAATACCAAACGAAACAGATGCCACCTGCTTCCAAGTATGTGCTTTTGTACCAAGATGACTTCCAAAAAAAAGTCATATGGAAATCTGCTGCTGCTGAAGTTTCCTAAATGTGTCTATGCACATACATGAGAAGGGCTGATACAGGGTTACCTTATAACCCGTAATGCGGCAGTGAGGTCCCATCGGCCCCCAAACAGTACAGGCTATTGCCAATGCTCTTGGTTACTCTCCAGAACTTGACAGTTAAGATCCTGCTTCTGGAGATGCCACAAACTTGAGTCATAGAACATAGCAAACTCAAGCTGGTGCTGATCTGGAAGCGTCATCCCTATTGGCTAGCTAGCATTGATAGAGCTTGAAAGTACTATGCATGCTACCAGAGGAAATAAGTATCAATTGTACCCAACCGTGAACCCTGGTAGTTACAAAAATCACTAGCCTGGCAAGCCGTGCCCGCCTGTGCAGTAGTGGCTCAAACATCATAGAAATATAAGCAACCATTTTCTGATTGGATTTAAGTCCACCCCACAAGATGAAAACCATACCTCGCACCATTATAGATAAGGCCAAGAACCAATGGTTAGACAGGTAATAGACCCTAAGGTAGAATCCACTGTTATTATTCTGTTAAAAACTGTCATTGTACTAAACCGACTCCTAATAACTTACCATTACACCCATTAGCTCAGTGTATCTCTCAACCCTCATCTAAGAACCAGTGGATGAACTGCAAATGGCCAAGATAAAGAAAATAAAAGATTCAGCTCTAAAAGAAACATGTATACCCCACCCCCTCCTCGCAGGGCTTGGGGATCACTGAGGAAGAGAGGGTGAGAGAGTGTAAGACCCAGACAGTGGATGACAAGGAAACAATGATTTCGGATACAGTAGGGGAGCTTAACATATGATCTTGCAGCAGTTGCAACAGCACAGGCAAGACCTGGGTAGGACCAAATCCCAACATGGAGACGAAAACTAGCCATGAAATCCTAGTCCTAGTCATGGAGTTATTGGCAACTATTAGCTGCTGGCAGAGGGAGAGACAATTTTCTCTAAAACTGACCATGCTCCCACGGGAAGCCATAAATGCAAGAGTACTTGGGTAGCATAAATTGGTCCTGATGAATTAAAAAATTAAAATAAAAAGATAAGAGAACAAAGTTGGCTAGGTAGGGGAGTAGGGTTGGATTTGGTAAGAACTGGGGAGGGAAAGAAACATGATCAAAACATGTTGTATGAAACTCTGAAAGAATAAATAAAAATTTAAAGTATCTTTTGAACATCAGAGAACTCTTAAACAAATCTATGGAAATCAACATAATCTCTGGGAAGTAGGGTATGTTTTGAAGACGTACTTGGCATTCTGCTTCTCATGTACTCATTTTTGATGTGTGTGTGTGTGTGTGTGTGTGTGTATGTGTATTGATGGTTAGCTTTAACTGTCATATCTAAGTTATGATAATGTAGGCAGCGTCATTCACTCACTATTGAGGGAGTTCTGAGCTCTCGAAGAGTGGAGAAACTGAACTCAGCATAGACAAGCAAGCAAACAGCCATACTGCATTCATTCTCTTTCTGGATTTTGACTGTGGCTTTCACTTCTAAACATGATAGACTGTAACTTGACTGTAAACTATGAGCTAAAATAATCCCTTTTCCCTGAGCTGCTTTTTATCAGGGCATTTTATCACAAGAGAAATAAAACGAAGAGAGAGAGAGGGAGAGAGAGAGAGAGAGAGAGAAACGAGGGAGAGAGAGAAAGAATGAATATGCAAAGATGTTGTTCATGTGAAGATGTGTACACGTGGAAGGCAGAGTTTGCCATCAGGTGTCTTTCTCTATTGCTCCCTCTTTTGCTTGTTCTAATTTTTGAGACAGGATCTCTGCTGTAGTCTGCCTTCTGTTTCTGTGATAACACACTCTGGTGAAAACCAGCTTATAGGAGGAGGTGTATTCCATTCACCATCCATTGTCAGGGGAGGTCTGGGTAACAACAGAGGCAGGAACTTGAGCTAGAACCCACATAGGAACACTGCTTGCTTTGCTCTCTGCCTTTAGCTGCATTTCTTACATAGCCCAGGACCACTTGTGTAGGGAGGGTGCCACCCACAGTGGGATGGACCCTCCTATGTCAACTCCCAATCAAGACAATCCCTCATATATATCCCTCATCTTTGTCCACAAACCAACCTGATAATTCTGAAACTTTTTCAGGTGATCCTGGGCTATGTCATGTTGACAGGGAAGCTAATCCAGGGATCTGTTTATCTCCACACCTCCTCAGTGCAAGGACTGCAGGTGTACCCTCCTGCACTCATACCTGGCTTTTTTGTGAATGCTGGGGAGCCAAATGTACTTTCATACTTTTATGCTGAATTTATAAACTCAGCTATCCCACTAGACCCCTTAAGCACTTAGAACTTCTAAGTAAATATGTCTTTGTGCTTAAACCCTCATGCCCCGGACAATAGGGACATACTGCAAGAGCTGTCTGTGCATACGACTGAATGTGCTAGAGTCAGGGAAACCAAACAAAGCTTTAGGACTGTCACTGGAACTCTTAAGAGTGATCCCAATGCAAAGACGACTTAGCAGTAGCATCACCCTCCTCTAGAGGCCAAGTGAGAATGTGGTGGTTTCCCAACCAGTGTTTTTAGATCCCCAAAGCTAGAGATTCCGATAGCCAGGATCTGCAGGACCAAGCCTGTCCCCTGACGGTTAGCTTCATGCCCTGGAACATCACACACCGTCTCAAAAGAATCCATGTTATGGGCTGGCCAAGTCCACACCCCAAAGTTCAGATATAGACACCCTAACCCTATGTATCAGAATTCAATGCTATTTGGAGATGAGGCCCTTAAAGGGGGAATTACATAACACCAAGGATCTTAATCCTCTGGTGTAACAGTAAAAAGAGATCAGGACACAGACACAAATAGTGGGAGGGAAGTGACAGCCATCTATGAGCCACGAAGAGAGGCCTTGGAAGCAACAACTTAGAATAGTGAAGAGAAACATTGCTGTCATTTGAGCCACCCTCTCCAATGACAGGTCCTTTCCATAGCAGCCCCAGAAAACTAACGTACATGCCACTAATGGTTGTGTACTGGAGCCTTGATTCAAACTACAACTTGGACATCACTGTTCTAATATCTGCCGGTGAGATTCAAATTATTAATAACAACCAATGTACACACATAAGCCCCCACCACTCCTCATAAAAACAAAACAAAAACAAACCAACAACAACAACAGCAAAACCCTGATGTCTCCCGTTGCCCTCCTTTCTTACCTGGTGGTAAAACCTTAAGATAATTTCGCCGGACGTTCAGTTCTCGTAGAGACTTCAGCTGGCCTATCTGCTGGGGCAAGGCAGTGATCTCATTGCAGCTGACATCCTGCAGCAAAAGGAGGGGTCAGGGAGAGCGGGAATCAGACAGAAATAACAAGTGCCTTTTCCCCAGCGTTTCATGTGAATTCCCCTCAAAGCACTTAAAAGTTTGGACAACACATTATATGTCCATACTGGTCTCCAGGTCCCCAGTCAGTGGGGCCCCACAGTGAAGGAAAGGGGTTTGCTCCCCTTTGCCCTTTGAGGGCAGAAAAGACATCAGTGACATTCACCAGATGGCTCTGTCACTTTTCTTTTCCAGGCCCTTGGACCTTGCTCAATTCCCACGACAAACTTATGAGCTCACAATATTCACAGCCCAGGAAAATGAGGCCTTGTGGTCCCAGGCAGGCAGGTGCCAGGTGACATCAGGAAGGAATTACTAGCCACCGTTCAGAAGGGAGGGTACACGGCCTCCCACCATACCAAGCTCTTACACAGAGAAATACTAGCACACCTACTGGATGCACAATTTATTCCTTTGCTACCACATGGCTGAAAGCTGTGGCCGACGGCTGCACACACATGTCACAAGCAAGTGTGTGGCATGTGAGGATTTTGTCACCTTTGCTTTGGAGGTGCAGTACCTCACTAATCCCAGATTAGAACCAGCTCATGCCACGTGAAATAAAGACACAATTCTCTTTATATTATAAAACCTCATTATCCCTACCCCCACATCTTCCCTTCAACCCCAGTAAGTTGCTGGGCTTTGCATTTTCCCCTCACATTTCTAGAACCTCCTTCAGTCCGCACTGTGCTATCTCTCAGACAACCTCTTGCACGTGACATTCTCTGGCTAGCTTCTCTTCCTTCCCTGACCCCATCCAATCATATCCATCCCTGACAAAGAGAGCTATCCCAGTGCAAATTTCATTCTGTTGTTCATCAGCGTAACCTTTCAGAAACTTCAGCAAGGCCCAGCCCTTGTGAGGAGGCCTCTCAGTTTCTCCAGGGCCATTCTCTGAATATTCTCTCTTGCATCCTACCCGTAAGCCCTGCAGTCACCACTTAAGAGTTTCGGTGTAGGCCATACTGTTTCACAGACCTAAAACTCATTCAGGCTCCCCCACTGCTTCATATACGAGCTCTGGCATTGTCTTCTTGCCTCCTGCTCATCTGTTAGGGCTCAACCCAAGCCTCACCTTGAAACCACCCTCTCCTGCTTTGATCAACACCTGGGAATGGATAATTTTCCCTTTCCCTCTGCAAGTTCACTTGCTCCTTTATCCTTCTTCTCCTGAAAAGCTGGGAGTTTCTAGTTGAGAGCTCCCATGTCATATTCGCTCCATCTTTCTGGTGCTTAGCAGAGGATCGGGTGTAAGGCAGGGACAAAATTTCTAATACCTGCTGATGTGGATACCGCCACGATACTGTGCCTCTTACACTGCAGCTGGAACCCCAGAATGTTTTACTGTATTAGTCAAATTCTAGGCAGGTCCCACTTTCTGTTGCAGAACCAAAGACAAATTCAGGCTATCCCAGTGAGGTTTAGTCATTAACTAGCCCACGTAACTTATGAACCTGAAAAACCACCTTTTACTTTAGAGGTCACCAAGTCCTTGTTCCAAAACTCCATGTGGCTTTCCTTCAGACTATATGAATGGATCCCTAACCAATCGATCCCTTGCTCGATACTCCAACCTCACAACCAGGATCCCTGTTGGACCAGGGCTACATCATTCAGTCATCCCTACCCTCTAGCTTTGCCCTCACATGATCCTCGTCAGTCAAACACCTGCTCAAGGATACTACCTCACAAAGGCACAGTATCAAAGAGTGTGCACAAAGTAGTTGACACATTGCACTCTCCTACATCAACTGAGAAGGGAAGTAGGGTGAAGAGAGTCACAGAGTAGGGGAAGTAGAGTCACAGAGTTTTTAGGGGTACTTCCCTAGCTACTGCCCTTGTCCTGATCCAAAATAAGCAACATAACACCCCTAGTGTTTAAAACAAAAGAGAAAAACAACAACCTTCCACCTCAGAGTCCAAAAGCAAATCCTTCCAGTGAGAACTGGATCTTTCCATGCCTTAAGTAAGTTATGAAGTAGCACCTGGCCCATTCCATTCTGCTTCACAACGGCCCTCACCAGCATGGAACCCAGATAAGCCTGAGGAGGATGCCTCAGATGTGAGGCCTGGCCCAGGACTGACAATGTCAGAAATGGAGGCAGGGTTGTGGGGAAGAGTCCGTTGGCATTATTTTCTGTGGAGAGGATTCATGTTATTGAACTATAAATTAAGTTTCTGTAGGTCTTTTAAGTGACTGTATGGAAAAACTTTGCAATGCTTGTCGAGATCCATCTCAGTGTAAACCCTATCATTTCCACAAGTCTCAAAGATAGATATAACTAATACGATTTTTTTTTCTTTAAAAAAAAATAAGAGTGAGAAAAAGGATGGTGAAGGATAATCTGTATATTTAGGCAATACACTCACAGAATGCCCTCTCCAGAGATCAACGTCAGTCTTGCTCCATTTATATATATACACAAACACACACACACACACACACACACACACACACTGCTCTGTGTCAACTGTCCCCCGGTTAATGGTAGCATCAAAGTATGCTGGACTCCTAAGGCCAAGGTGACTCTTCCCAGCACAAATTCCTAACACTGCTGTCTTAACAAACAAGACCGACTCCTGCCAGCAGTAGTTAAACACAAGCTGGTAGAGACAGCACCTACTTACTTACGTAAAACAACGCCACATCGATAGGCACCCTATTTTTCCATCTAAGAGACAGGATGCCTGCGGACAAGTGCAAACAGAGAGGCCAGTGCCCTGTTTAAATTGTAAAGGGTGGATAGCCAGGGTCAGTTATGTTACTAATACTCTACATTCCTCCGAGTTATCCTCCCCCACAATGAGCAGAAAAGTTTAAGGCAAACCCATGACATAAGGGATAGACAGTCCGTTTGCTGCTGTACATTCAATACGGTGAAAGCAGGGCAAATCTACTCCCCAGGAACCACGGGACCTCACCAAAGTTTAAAGAGGTTATGAATTTCATCATAAAAATAAACCCGTGGGAACTTATGTCTAATTAGCTTGAGGAGGAGGAAACAGAGATAATAGTCTACATGTCTGGGGATGTTTCAGTCTTGAAAATGCACAAGCAGTATTGCTAGAATGGCCTCATTCTCTAGAATACTTCTATACAAATTTAGCCTAAAGAAGTCATAGAGCTTTCCAAAAGATTATTTGGAAAAGATAATACTTAGAAAAATAAATTTTAAAAAAGCAAATAGCAACGCTTTACATGTCTGCAATTAGTGAAGACTATCAGATTGTAAATCTCACATTCATTTACTTACTAGAATATTCAAATTAATTCCTTCTGAATTTTCTATTAGCCCCAAGCTACAATGTCTTGGAGAATAAGCTAAGTTTTAGTGAAATCACTGCATATTCAATGTAATCACATCCCAATTGTACAACTCAAGGATCATGAGCAACCGATTTGCCAATTTATTTCTTCCTGATAGAGAAATAAATCTAATTATAACAATATAAATACGCAAACATGAGCTTTTCATGGACCAGCTAACCCAACTCTATCATTTAGATCCTAACAACGACTTAAACCACACTCTGTGACAGAGTGACCACACCAGCAGAAGATGTGTATATGAAAATTGGGTCTTTATGTAATTGTGGAAACGCAAATCATCGACAGTCTCCAACCATCATGGAAACCATGCCTTTTGTATGCCTCTCTATGCAACTTTTGGGCAAGCGTCTTACTCCCTGTGAGCTCGTATAAAAAGAGAGACGAGCACCAGAAAGATGAGCCAGTTGGAAAAGGCACCTGTTGCTACGCCTGACGATTTGGGTTCAACCCTTACACCTGCAACCCACAAAGTGGAAGGAGGGTGCTCACTTCTAAACGGTTCCTAACCTGCACATGCCAAACAAACAAATGAGTATTAAGTAATTCTAATTTTCTCTCTGTACCAGGAAAATCAACTGACTACACAAGAACACTGAAGGGTACTCAGTAATGTCAATTGTCATTTGCTGGCAATAAAACAACCCTCAAGGCCTCTGGTCAGAACTTGAAAAAGGGGGGGGGGAGTACATTAATTTAAACTTGACCCCTTCCAAGCAAACCTTTGGCGTGATAAATGATGTCCTAACACTCATGCATCTTACCGAGAAACTATGCCTCCTACCTCTCCACCTACGCACAAACACATGTTCCACTCCCTGTTCTTGATAACAAAGGCAGAAATGGGAGCCACGAAGGGGCCCTGAGTAACTGCTGGGTTTCCACAGAAACCAAAGAGGTCGAAGACATTTCCAGAGACCACTAATGGACCAATGATTACAGCCGGCACACTGCTATGAAGTCCCCACCCACCTCAGACGTGGGAACACTCGGCATAAAATCATGGGGAGGGATTCTCTTCAGAAGCTTGTCCTTAGTCCCGTAGCTCAAGTTCCCCCACAAAACCAGCCAGTTCGTGAAAATGGAATAAAAAGCCCTGTGTCTAATTAGGGCCTAGAAGCACACCTTCCAATCAGTACGGCTGGATCCAGCCCTGTGTTGTTTTGCACGGATGGCAGGGTGCTCTCGGCCACTGAATGAGTGCATGAGGACAGAACTGAGAAAAGGCAAACAAGGCCAGCAAGCCTCTCAGGACCCAGCACCAGTGTGGAGCTCCTGGGTCTCTGGCAGAGGTCCTATCTATAAAAGGCCCTGACTTTACCGAGCCGTTAACGTGCTTATCTTCACAGCTGCCGGTTAACTATGACACTCGGCGTTCATACGGCCCTTCTTACCAAACACACCTCATCAGTCAGCAGAATTGTACAGGAGAAGAGCCGCATTTCTGGAGACGGCTCAGCCAGGGAAACCCTTGTGGGAACACTGAGTTTGTATCTCCAGCAACCGTGTAAAAAGCTTGGCTATAACCCCAGCCTTGAATGGGGGAGAGACTAAAGGATTCCTGGCCAGCCAGGCTAGTTCAGTGTCAGTGAGAGATCTCACCTCACAAAAAAACGCAGAGGGGCTGGAGTTATGGCTCAGTGAGAGCACCCGCAGCCCAAGGCTGAGGACCTGGGCCATATCTCCAGCACTGATCTAAACTGGCCGTGTGCGCCTGTCACCTCCCTGCACTGGGCCACGGAAGGCCGAGAAAGGATTGCTGGGGCCTGCTGTCCAGCCAGCATCACTGAAATACAGAAAGTTCTAGGGTCTATGAGAGCGCCTGTCTCATGGGAATGTGGCAGAGTGATAGAGAGTATTAACATTCTTCTCTGGCCTCACCATGCACAAGCACCGATCACACCCCATATACACACAGACATGCAAGTACTATACCCACACTTGTGCACAAACACACAGAGACACACATATACAAATGGAGAACTGACTGAAGAAGACACCCAAGACTGATCTCTGGCTTCCACAAACATTCACACACACACACACACACACACACACACGCACACGCACACGCACACGCACACGCACACGCACACGCACACCTACCTTGTTTTCAGCAAGTTCCAAAGGTCTTAACAAGTTATTTACAGGTCCCCACAACCTGACCTGGTTCTACTGTGGGGAAATATTCAAACACGTCCGTTTGTCCAGAGTCAACAGGGAGAATACCTCCTGCTCACCTGCGCGGCATGGCTTGTCAGAACTTTAAATAAGAAAGTCACAGCAAACAAGAAACTCCAGAGAAATAAATCCTAAACGAGATGCTCACCTAGAGTCTAGGTGAGAGGGACTACCTTGTGCTTTAAACTATGTCTATACATCCTTCACCTATCAGGTATATTCAACTATCAACTCTATGTATGTAGATACATATGAATATATGTATGTAGGCATCTATCTATCTATCTATCTATCTATCTATCTATCTATCTATCTATCTATC